AGAGATCTACATGCCAGAGTAGGAAATGATCACTCTAGATGGGATGGAGTGATCGGGAGATATTGTAAAGATGTTTTGAATGATAATGACAAACGACTTCTTAGATTCTGCAGGGAACAGAGCCTTGTCTTTACAAAAACAAAATTCACCCACAAACGTAAACATACATACACAAGATTTGAACCTTCAAAGAATGAGAAATCCATCATTGACTACGCCATAGTGAGGAAAAGTTCATTCAAGTTTGTGAGAGATGCTAGGTCACGGTTCCCAGCACTCTTCTTGGTTAATTGATTCGCAAGGAGAGAAACTGCTAAATAGGGTTTACGTGCAATGCCTAAGAAGAATACTTGGCATTAAGTAGCCAACAAGATGACACATACTGAGACACTGGAAAGACAAGGATTACAAGAGTTTCCTCAATTCTCAGATTGCCAAGACATACAAGTCATACAAGGCTGAGATGGCTTGGTCACACCTGAAGAATATAGAAAGCAATTCCTCTTGTGTGAACTACATAGTATGTATGACACATATAATGTTTGCGTCTGCTTAACGGTTTGGTTAGAGAAACATCACCCATCCACACTTTACCAATGGAGTAGATTTACATAATACCATCACAATGATTTCATTGGCATTGATTGTCTGCACTTTGCTGGCATTTACAGATGGCCTCCGTGTAATGTGCTACTTTTCAAACCAAGGGCAGTATCGAGCTGGAATAGGCAATTATAAGCCAGAAAATGTGGATCCCCATTTGTGCACACACTTGGTCTATTCTCACGCGAGGATCTTCGGCTTACAGATTGAGGCAACAGAATGGAATGACGATGGCAATGAAAAGGCAGAGGGAATGTATTCTAAATTTGTAAGCCTCAAGCAACAAGCCAAGGACCTGAAGGTGCTTTTGGCACTAGGGGGATTTAGAGAGAAGGCAGAATCATTCATACCAGCAGCTCTCACCTTCGAAAGTCGTGAAACTTTCGCTAGAAATGTGGTCAAATACGTTCGCGATAGAAAATTTGATGGCGTGACGCTGGAATGGGGCAGCCTCATTGCCAAGCCTAATCCTAAATATAACAGAGACAAATTTCTGCTTCTTTTGAGGGCAATAAGAGCAGAATTCGAGTCTGAGTCAAGGAAAAGTGGAAATGATGCACTCCTCCTAGTTGTAACGTTGCCCGGAAAAAAGAACGAGATAAATGAAGGTTATCATGTTCCAGAAATTGTCCAAGAGACAGATTTCGTCTCTATTCGCGCTTTTGACTTCCGTACCGCTGAAGATAAAAAAGTTGGGTTAAGCTCACCTTTTGTTTCTGATCCGGCTGCAAGGGGCGATGAAAAGACTCTGAGCTTTAGCTGGGTGGCGCTTTATTACATAAACATGGGAATCCCCAAGGAAAAGATCAACATGGGCTTATCCACATTCGGAAGAACATTCTTGCTAAAAGATCCAAAACAGAGCAGGTTCGGGCAGCAGGCCGTGGATTACGGCAACGTGGGGCCGTGGTCAGCCATTATAGGCAAGATTGGTCGTTATGAGGTTTGCCAGTCTATATGGACCGGAGGCTCTGTTGTCAATGTCCCTGCTCAAGGCGGCAGATACCACGTCAAAGGCTATGAATGGATCAGTTATGAGGATCCACTGAGTATTGCGAAGAAGGCCTGTTTTATGAGTAAAATAGGATTCGGCGGTGTCACATTCTGGACTCTTGATTTGGACGACTTCAGTGGTAAAGGCTGTCGCGAGGGACGATACCCACTTATCACTACAGCTCTATTCATACTGAGAAGGGCGAGTGAAAACCTCTGCAAGAGTGTTAATAACACAGGCTACGTGAAAGCACTGTCATTTAACAGAACGCGGAGCATACCGACAAGTCCACAAGAGAAAAAGCGTGTTGTTTGCTATATACAAAGCTGGGCCTATCACAGAAAGGGCAAGGGACTGTTTGTGCCGGAAAATATCGAGCCAACAATCTGCACCCACATTATCTACGCCTATGCCACGATTAAAGACTTTTATATCAGGCCTTTTATTCGCTACGAAGAGTCAGAGCCGTGGCGGGAAGGACTGTTTCAACGATTGGTAAACAACAAAGAGATTAATCCGGGATTGAACGCCATGGTTGCAGTTGGGGGAGCAGACGGAGATAAATATATTGAACGTATGCCTGAGAATGAGGCAAACTTGAAATCATTTGCAATTAATGCTGTGAAATTTCTCCGAGAGAAAGAATTTGATGGACTTGAGGTTACATGGGAGCGGCCTACCGTGACACATAAACAAAAATTTTTGATAATACTCAAGCACTTGAGAGAAGCGTTTGACCAGGAAGCGACGCAAAGTGGCAAGACTCGCCTTATTCTCACAGTAAGCATGCCAGCAGGAAAGGAAAAAATCGATGTATACGGAAGGGATCTATTGACCATTGAAAGAACCGTGGACTTCATGTCTGTCAGAACGTACATAGTATGTGGAGCCCTGTACAGTATAAAATAAGGACACCTAAAAATCTAGCCAGAGACCCTGTTACAATTGACCAGGCCCCTAATTGTCCTGAACAGTAAAAAGACCGAGAAACTGTCTTGCAGACCCACATTACACAACTGGAGTTCAATCACAAAGAATGGATTCACATTTCACATTTTTAATGACCATGAAACAAGATAAAAAATAAAGTCGGGAGATGTGAACCAGCGTCATTGCACACGGTTATAAACCATAAGTGCTCTGCCACAAGTACGGACGGCTGATTAGAAACTGTTCGCCTGTGTCGCCGTCCGCACGTAACTCTGTAGCTACAGCGACGTTCCTTCATTTACCCCAGAGTGTCACTCTGGTATCCATTTCCTAGAGGCTGGGTTAATGCGGGGAGCCGCCCGGTTTCGAACACCGACCGTGGCTGCAGCGAGTCGCACCTGAATTTGAAAGCGAGCCTCGTATCGACTGCGCTAGCGCGGCTCCCACCATGACCATGAAATTAGATTAAGGGCCAAACATACACTACTAAAGTACCAATGCATTTTCGTTTGCAATCCAACTCGGGGAGAATTTATCCTCTAGAGCAAACTATAATAGCAGTTATCCATTTGTACATAAATCATTTATTTAATTGCTTCAATGAAACACAATTAGTACTAACCTTCCCATACTAGAGGACCTTCCAGAATCGACGAGATAGGGTGAAAAAGTTGAAAAGAACCAATCTTGAAAACAGCCTAGCAGGTTTGGGTAAGTCCATGGAAGTAATCTTAGTGTAGATATGGAATGGACATGATTAATTCTCTTCTGGCCATTCCGGTAAAACTTTGTGATTGCCCCAAAGATATTGACAACTTTCAGTGCAGGACACACAAGGCCATTCTTCAGATAAATTAGGGCTCACCAGATATTGGCAATGACTGGCATAAGCTAGCCCCAGACGATCATACTAGGGCAAGCTTTTAGTTTCAATATTAATACATAGCATATGGAGCAAACACTGGACTTGCACTAGGGCAAACAACCAACATGGTCCATCTTCATGCCTTCTTGGCGATACAAGCCATCTGAGTTTACTGTATACTAACATCAGATTTCATGACAGTTCACAAATCTGGCTTCACAATATGTATCTCTCTCACTGGTTTCTCATTAAAAACCTCAGAGTGTCTGGACTAAAGAGGAGGTTATTCAAGTGGCTGTGAAATCAGACGGGTTCACTCATTATTAACCATTTCTGAAAATTAGTAACAATCGAAATGATATGTCTGAGAAAGGCTAAAGGCGTGGAAAAAAATTGTAAGCCAAAAAGTTGGCAGAGGACCAACACGAAATTACACGCTAAGACAACAAATAAAATGGACTGCCCCCTTAGAAAGAATCCTTTGTAAAGCATTACCATACAAGACACATACAGAACGAAAGAAGGAAGGCAGATAGAGCAAGGAACAGACGACTAACAAGGTGGAAATATAGCATTAGAGAAATGTTAAACAGTTTCATGGTCGAAGCGATACAGGAGATGTTATATCACCGCCTTCTCAAGATAAATAGTTATGATTAACAAAGAGACAATGTATTGATTGATACTCATTAAAAGAAGAAGAGAGATAGAAGGACACACTAGACAACATAAAAATCGAAAGCTATAGTTACCGCGCCGGGAATCGAACCTGTCACCTACAAATGACGTGTGGGCCTCATATTGGCAACTCGTACATCTTGAAATCACCAACTATGGAACATGGAAATAATTAATCTCAAACCATATAAATGGTACCATATGTTTCAGAAGTTTTATATGAACGAAGCATAGGTCGAATAACAAACACAGCAACAATTAGGATTACAATTCACCTACAATTATCACGCACAGCAGACCGTATTGCTTTGTCAAGAATACACGAACATTCAAGAAAGAGATTTGATTGGTATGTTTCATTGTGTTTACGTCATTCACATAAATAAACAGAGGGGGAACCCTTGAAGCCGTAGAAATATTCAGAGACACATGTATTGATCGACACTGATTGACAAAGAGGTCCCAGAAACCGCGTTCAGACAATTGGCCATATTTATGGCCTGCCTATATTGCGGCCCCTGGCAAAAGCCAGGGTGGGGCTTCACATAACAAAAAATTTCGTCCTAAAAAGGACGAAACACCTATTGCTAGGTAAGTATAATCGGCACTCTGTTTATTTATGGTAAAGTAGAGGACGTGAAGTAGCCAGTGGCGGTCAAGGGAGCAGGCCCAGGGTCACTTCAGCCACTTTATTTGGCAGTTTAGCTGAAGCCAGTTGGCAACCCTAACCCAGTATCCGGTGTAAACATGGCTGGTTTGATTTCTCTTCTACACGATATTCATTGCGCGGAACGTATTTACAGTCTCCAGTAGCTTATACTCATGCAGTGATTAAATTCGGTACGAAAAAACAAAATATCAGTCAGCAAATTTTCGAATAATAAGCAAAACGTTTCAGAACCTGATGAGCAATATATCATCGCTGGTTGGATGTCCGCAGGCAGCAAAGCAAAGATGAGCAGTGCCATAGAGCCCATAGACAAGCGAAAGATCTTCATGCAGTGTTTTCTCTCGAAGGGTATCCTCAGCGCCACGGAAGTCAAAGAGCTGTTAATATGTATGATTTTTATTGTCGTTCAATGATTACACTTAATTGTCTTTAACGCACGCATGCACGGAGACCATACTAACTGATATGTTATATTATATTATTATATTGATTCTTAAGGCACTCTTCTAAATACCAGTCCCAAATTATTCACTGCAAAAAACATCCCTTTGAGAGCCTCAAGAGGTTGCGCAGTTAAAAAAACTTTAGACCGTCATCATCAGTTTCCACTTTCATTTTTATTTCTTGATGGATAGCAATATTTAGACCTAAAGCTAAGCGTCATGGGGAGGAATAGTTTTCGATCTATTGAAGCGGAGTGGGGAGGATAGATTTGGATCCATTGTTTAAGCGGCATGGGGAGGAGTAGTTTTTGATCTATTAGAGCGTCATGGGGATGAATAGTTTTTGATCCATTGTTCACATTACTCGTGACTTCCCTTATGGGTTGCAGGGCCACATGTTTGAGGGAAAAAAAAAAATAGATCCAGTGCCACCTAAAAGCATGTTCTAAACAGCAACTAATTATGACGTTGCTGAAATCGGATGTGTTGGCTCGAAAAGCATAGCAAATTGCAGCCTAGCTGTAAACCATGCGCCAACCGCCCTTTTAAGAGCCAAAAAAAAATTATTGTCACTCTGCGGGGAATCAAACATTGGTCACCCGCATGACAGGCGGAATACTTACAACTGTACTACCGAAACCTCAAGCGTTTGGTGCGAATGAAATTATATAATAAAGTGTGGCATAGTTTATAGTGTTCCTATTCCATATTTTAAACTATATTTGAGGCTCTAAATATGATTTTTTTTTTACAGTTAATAATTTGGGACCAGTATTCGGAAGAATGCGGATTCTTAAAATCCTCTAAAAATAATTTTACAGGTAAAAGGTTAGGGTAAAGTCAGTAAATGAGAACCAGCTTCATTGCACACGGTTATTAACCATAAGTGCTCTGCCACCAGTGCGGACAGCTGATAAGAAACTGTCCACCTATGTCGCCATCCGCACGCAACTCCAAAGCTATAGTGACATTGTTCCATTTATCCCAGAGTGGTACCCATTACCTAGAGGCTGAGTGAACCCCGGGAACTGCCTGGTTTCAAACACTGGCCGTGGGCTGCAGCTCTGTGGTGGTATCTGCCCCCACATTTAAACATCTTTATTTAGAATTGACTTACAGACTTCACTGAGGTATCTTGGATTGGACATTTTAATCTCTATCCAGCTGTGATGGTCCCATAAGTACAAACCTAATAGATACAATTTCACTAGCATCCCTACTAGGGCTACCTATTTTAACCCCCTCCCAACCCCAGATCTGAGTTTTTATATGAGGGAGATAAGTATCAGCTGTAAGGAACTATTGAGACAAGCAGTCATATTCCTGAAGGGTAGGGAGATGAGTATTAGCTGTCAGGAACTATTGAGACAAGCAGTCATATTCCTGAAGGGTAGGAAGATGAGTATTAGCTGTCAGGAACTATTGAGACAAGCAGTCATATTCCTGAAGGGTAGGGAGATGAGTATTAGCTGTCAGGAACTATTGAGACAAGCAGTCATATTCCTGAAGGGTAGGGAGATGAGTATTAGCTGTCAGCAACTGTTGAGACAAGCAGTCATATTCCTGAAGGGTAGGGAGATGAGTATTAGCTGTCAGCAACTGTTGAGACAAGCAGTCATATTCCTGAAGGGTAGGGAGATGAGTATTAGCTGTCAGGAACTATTGAGACAAGCAGTCATATTCCTGAAGGGTTGGAAGATGAGTATTAGCTGTCAGGAACTGTTTAGAAAACTGATCATATTCCTGAAGGGTAGGGAGATGAGTTTCAGCTGTCAGGAACTATTGAGAAAATTGATCATATCTGGTGATCTGGTAATCCTAGTTTCAGCTTCATAGCAAACGGGTCAACCCATAGTTGCTCCGCTCCTGTGCCAACAAAAAACACACGTAGCTTAGTGTCATGCCGTGCACTCAACTCAGAAGCTGGGCGACAAAACTATATCCTTCCAGTCTACAAATGGAGCAAAAATGCAACGGCCACCATCTGGCCTAGCGTCCATTTTGACCTGAAGCATTATATGATGGTTAATAAACGGTCACCCCAGCAGTACCCTCATTATTAGCTGGGGAAGGGACTTAGGACATTACATCTACCAGCAGGTGTCGCCCCTACAACGACCTGCCTGCCTTCGTTAACGACTGTTCACCCAACAGCCATGCAGTTCTTTGGCACGAAGGAGACACCTTGAACTTGGGTTTCGGACTGCCGACTCCCTACAAGATGTTATTTTATGTTTTGTTATCACACTTGATGTCACTGCACATTGGGCATACCCATGCGTGCTCAGTTCTCCGAAGCAGCAGCCACTCCAAAGTACTTCTACTAATTGTCCCCATGAGAAGCTGGTTATATCGTCTCCTTTCTCGGCCCCGAAGACGGCAAAGACGTGCATCACCATGTTTAACTCCCATGACACGCAATCGTATTAGTGTTAGAGATTCCTCATTCTCCACTAGCCCAGTTCGTACCGCGTTGACGATATCTGCTTTGTCCATGCTTTTTCCCACAATCATTAGTGCAGTGCTTGCCAGTTGGTCCGCTCGCTCATTTCCCTTTAAGCCGGCATGACCCAGTGTGTAGATCCAGATTACGGAGGTTAAGTGCGATTTCCGAATGCTTTCTATCCATTCAGAGCACATACTGCCTGTTGCTATCTTCTGAAGCATTTTCTTTGAGTCTGAGACAATTACTGCCTGTGTGGCGGTTTGCTCGGATACCCACGCTAAAGCTCTAGAAGCAGCGGCTATTTCCATGGTCATGCTTGACGTGGTTGTCTGGTAAGTACGGCTGTCCTCATGCATTGTTTTCCCCCTTCTTTGTGCTATGTATGCCCATGCTGACCTTGATCCGCGCATCACGGATCCATCTAAAATTGATCATATCCCTGAAGGGTAGGTAGATGAGTATTAGCTGTCAGGAACTGTTATGAAAAGTGATCATATTCCTGAAGGGTAGGGAGATGAGTATTAGCTGTCAGGAACTGTTATGAAAAGTGATCATATTCCTGAAGGGTAGGGAGATGAGTATTAGCTGTCAGGAACTGTTATGAAAAGTGATTAAATTCCTAAGGGTTGGGAGATGAGTATCATCTGTCAGGAACTGTTTAGAAAAGTTATCAGATTCCTGAAGGGTAGAAAGGCTGCTAGCGCAGATGGTGTCCTAGCAGAAGTTATTGTAGTGGATAAAAACATCTCAGCTCTATGACTGCATTAATTACACTTTACAACAAAATTCTGGAACTGACATGAAAACAATCTGTCTTTACTAATTTTGGGATGATGAACAGGAAAATAAAACTAAAAATAATTGATTGGCTCTTCTTTAGGGGATACTGTAGCCAGTTTTTTCTTTTTCACTGTCATACTCCTGCTCAGCCCCTCGAATGAATGAATGATGAATCAACAATTGACATCACTGCACTTGGGACATTTCCCACACATGCATCATCCCCTTCAGTAACCAACAAAGAGTTGATATGCTAATGGTACCAGTTGCAACCTGATTAAAAGTCTGCCTGAGAGAAAACATACTTGCAGAAGTATCCACATTATAAAAGAACAAAGTTATGATCATTTCCTGGCTAGACTAATGTGGCAATAAAACATCAGGATAATCACCTTTGTAATTGCCAGTGACAGTTTACCAACCAACCAACCAACCAACTAACTAGATCATTAAAAAAACAGCAGCTACCATCAAAGATGTCATTCTCTAATGCTGAAACATGTGCTGTTATCTTTGCAGTTTGTGGTGTACCAGTAGAGTCAAAGTCAGATATGGCTAACTTCGTACTTAGTGTTAATGCATCCCTAGCACCTTTCCATCTTGAAATCAAGAAAGGCATTCAGGAGGATGATGGAGCCAGTTTTTATTGTCTGGTATGTCTTTGTTTAGTACAGATCAGTGGTGGTGCACTTATTGTATGGTGTAACTTAGTACAGATCAATGGTGTGCACCGATTGTCTGATATGTCTTTGTTTAGTACAGATCAGTGGTGGTGCACTTATTGTATGGTGTAACTTAGTACAGATCAATGGTGTGAACCTATTGTCTGATATGTCTTTGTTTAGTACAGATCAATGGTGTGCACCGATTGTCTGGTATGTCTTTGTTTAGTTTGTGTGTGTGTGTGTGTTGTCCATCAAGTCCATCCTCCAAAGCCTGGGTGAAAATGTATATGAAAACTTATTTGGAACATGAGTGAAATCCGCTAACTGAATATACTACTAAATGACAACCCTTTGTTAAAATGCCTGTCAAGTACTACTGAAAGAACTGCTGAGGCTTAGCCATAGACCAAGAGATTTTCATGCAGCATAGAAAAGCAACATCTGCAGTGAGCGGTAGACAGTCAGGTCTGTCTCTTTGTATCCTTTGTCAACACTCAGCATCATCTTCACTGAGTTAAGGTACACCTTGACAGTCTGCTACTGTTAGTCAGCTGACTAGGCACAGATGTTGGTCAGATATATGTCCTATGGCATAACATCAAAGTCATCTGATCATCAAACGTCATTTATTCTGTTTGGCAGAAAGGTTCAGTTGTCCATTACCATTGGCCTCGTTTGCCAGAGTGTCATGACCAAATAGGGAAAGCCATGCCTGATGCATGCTTCCATACTGTCATGACAAGTGTCAGGATGAAACAAAATTAAAGGTGTGTAATGTGCAGAAGAAGAATATATCTGTTTGTGTTGTCACTGAAGACCTGAACCTGCAGGCTGCTCTCTGTTCATCTCGGGAGGGCACATAAAAGTGAATCAAAGCATTGTTTCCCAGTTGTAAATTGTGCAATCTATTGGTAGTGTCTTCTATTTTAAAATAAAAGTGAATGCTGTTTTTTATTTTTTCAAGAATAACATTATCTGCAAGCTAGTAAAAAAAAAAAAGTTAATTGAGTTATAACATTGTCTGCAAGCAAGTAAAAAAAAAACAAGTTGAGTTCTGTTTACCTTTTAGAAGAACAACGGAGATCTGTCCTTACACATATATTATTAAGGCCCCCGCAATTTATGTATTCAGCTAAGCATATTAAGAACAAAAGTTAGTTATCATTTCTAGTTATATTTCGATACTGAAGTAATCAAACATTTTTACCTTACATATACGCGTGTCAGGTGAACTTCTTGGCGCACTTTTTATTTCTTTGCTAGGGGGTGCTTTGGATCTTCGGAAGCCATTTGTGAACCTTAACAACACAGTGGCTACAATTGGATGAACAAAAAGAAGAAGATGATGATAAAATCATTATATTGTATTGTATTGCGTTGTATGCTCAGTGTTTAATATTGTGTGGTGAACTCATTGTGTGGTGAACTCATTGTGAACTCTGTGCAGTATGTTCCTGTGCATTCATCAGTCACTGACAAGTGTCGTGATAATTCTCATCTGTCTTCCGACTGCAGGTCAATACTGTTGAAAGCAGCATCTCTCGGATGTCCTCCACATACTCCTCCACTGAACTGGAGCTGTTTAAAAAGTTGGTATGTGCTTGGTATGACTTGTCATTTGTGATGGCATTTATTGATGACTTGTCATATATGATGGCATTTATTGATGACTTGTCATATATGATGGCATTTATTGATGACTTGACATTGTGCCAACCTTTATTGATGACTTTTCTTTTGTGATGGCATTTACTGGTGACCTGTCATTGTGCTGACTTTTATTGATGACTTGTCATTTTTGATGTTCTCTGTTGTTTCATTTTTGGTCCTGTGTCACAGATTGGCTGCCGTGGTGTGTTTCTCTTAACTGTTGACAAATGGTACTTTGACTTATTGTACTGTGACATGTTTCTGTTAACCGCTAACATGTGTTAGTGTGAAGAACATATTGTAGTGATGTGGTACTGTGACACTAAACATATTGTGGTCATGTGGTACTGTGACGTGGCAACACACCTGGTAACTTCAGAACGTGTCTTTCCCCATCTTAATTTTTTTTTCTGCATTTTAAGTTGTAGAGGAAAATATGTTTCAGGGCTGGAACCTAAATCTAAGTCCACCAGAACAAAGCTGTTTAATTTTCCTTTGACTACAACTGAAGTCAAACACCCAGACTCTTGATAACACAAGCAATTAGACTTGGTGGCACCAATGAAGTGGAAAGTACAGACCACCTAACCGGAGATGTCATATAATTATCAAGAGAAGAGAACCTTAGGGGCATGTAACTCATGATAAAATTATCTTCCGCTGGGATTATCTTTCTTGAACTTCAGGCCAGGGCTATTATTGACACCTCTCAGAATGTGGTGTTAGCAGATGGCCTTGGACCAGATGTCAGAGCATTTGGCAGACGGGGAATGTAGAAGGAATTTGTAAGTTGTGACCATGTTTATGGCCATGCAAAGCTCTGATCAGCTTGAGCCCATGAGAATGTAACCCAGGGTAGGCTAACAATTGTTTTAGCCTTCTTGTCTTTATCATGTCTGATGATAAAAACCAGATTTGTAGAATTGATAATTCTGAATCTGCCAGCGAATGTGGCACTGAAATTTACAATTCCTTAATAAGTAGAGATACACAGGTGAATGTTACCATCATATTGCAATTGAAAGTAGCGACACAATGATGGTAGACTTGATAACGGAGGCGATATAGTTACATCTGAAGAAAGAAGCGGGCATGGCACAAGAGACCAGAACATGCTGAAAATGCTGTTTCGAAATGGAGAAAGGCTGCTCAGAATGAGCTTGTTAAGCTAGAAAATCTTTCTACATACGAAGAGCAAGATGCCCTCTCAGACACAGTTGGGTGTATTGTAGTTAAAAAAGGATTAGGAAGGGGTGAACAGAGTACGATTCCTGATAAACCCATGACATCTGACACTGTCGGACGTATATGCTTAATAGCCGGCAAGCCAACAACCCAGATTAGAACGCTGGAAACAACGCCATTTTGTCTTGCCGTCAAATAGGAAGGTAAACTGGGAATGAGTGGAATGGCCTGGCAGGTTGACGGGTTTCAGTGGGTGAGGAATAAGCGACACTGAAATCACCCAGGGTGGTGAGACATGGAGAAAAGGGGGAGAAGCAGGGCAGCAGAAGAGAGTTAGAGCCCAGGAGCTTAGCTGGGCAGCTGCAAAACAAGGACTAGAGTTTTTTTGAACCTTACAATTACAGTACGACCGAAAGAAAACTTTGTCAAAAGAAAGAGAGTTTTACCTAGTTTTAGAAGTTTGACTTCGTGTTAGAAATACTAGTGAAGTACACATACAGCTATAATAACCTGAAGTGTTCTTTACCATTGTATAACAAAACCCGGTGTTGTACATGAATTGACATTATGTTAAACGATCTTAACTGCAAATGAATTGATTGAATTCGTAAAATCACTGGCCGTGTTGTTAAACACAATCAAGAGACGTACAAACAATGTCTTGTATAACTTGTTCCGTGTAGGCGCATCTGAATGTGCTTGGGATATGTGAAAGATACAACTGTGTCACAGTATGTCATTTGATTTTTGGAAGAAAAAGCAGCTGAAACAGAAAAAGGCATCTCATCCTTGTTGTGTGCTAAATGAGTCAGCACACTAACAAGTGTCTTAGCAGGTACTCTTCCGCTTCCTCTCTTAGAAATAGAACACCGTCATACATATTTATTTAACAGGATACATGACACAAATGCAGACACGTAGTCATTGATCACAGCTGACATTCTTACATCGTTCATTTGTCCTGCTGTGTGAAAGATGGAAGTTTGGAAGGGCCGAATGTAAGACAGGCCTGCGTGCCTAATTTGTAACCCTTTGAAAATAAAGTTCGTTCGTTCGTTCGTTCGTTCGTTCGTTCGTTCGTTCGTTCGTTCGTTCGTTCTATCTCTCAGTTAGTAGCGGTCTCTCCTTGACTACTACAGCTCCAATGACTACAGCGTCCCACACACTGGACGCGTTGTACAGCTGAACAGAACGACTTCTCCCATTCACTGGACCTTGATATTATTTCAGCATACAACACGGTGACTGGAGACGGCCTCCTCTTGCCGTACCCCGAAACCAGGCACTACTGGCCTTCTGTCCCCAGGACTTACTTTGCCAGCGGGAACATATCTTCTTCAGTACCGCAACCTTGACACTTACTCAGACCTAAATGCCTGATAGTCGTACGGTATTCTTGTCTGTTAGACTTGCGAGAGATATCCCGGACCCTAACTTGGTCTCTGACTCTCGATTCCTCTATATATCTTCTTCAGTACCGCAACCTCGACGCTTACTTAGACCTCAATGCCTGATAGTCGTACGGTATTCTTGTCTATTAGACTTGCGAGAGATATCACAGACCCTGACTTGGTCTCTGACTCTCGCTTTCTCTCTCTCTCTCTCTTCTCGCTTCTCTCTCTTGACTGCTTCTCGATTGCCCCCGAGGGGCTTTAGCCCTCAGGCTACAGCTCACTCACCCGGACCGTCTACGCAGCCCAATTTATCCCTGTCAAATCCGTGTAGGTGGATGATGTCTACACGAGAGGCACGCTTGTATGTGCGTTCTCGTGACTCATGATCCCGTGGGTGTTCTTGGGACTCACGCTCACATAGGTGTTCTCGAGGATCATACTTATGTGGGTGGCTGATGTTAGCTGAGAATCACGCTGTCACTTAATTCACACTTTCTCTGTTTATCTCGTTATCCATGCTTTCAGCCCCCCACACACAGAAACCCACGCGTCCACTTTCTCTTGTGCGTGCAAGCCTTGTTCATGAATATACATTTTCACTGGTCTCCTCTTAATACTCAGACCATGTTGACACTCTTCCCCTGTGAACTTACAGACAGTACCGACCTCTCACTGTCCCTTCACGCAATATCACACTTTACCCCAAATCAGCGCGCAACAATCCTGTGTTTTCTGTGACAGAAGATAAAGGCATGCTGGCCATTACCTGCCATGACACTAATAGAGTTAACATGAAATCTGCTGTTTACCGCAGTGATGTTATGGACAAAACAGTTAAGAAAAGTGGAATTCCTGATATGCAGAATAATAAACAAGCCAGTTTTGCATAAAAGTGCAACAAAACTATGTTGGGTGGTTGTTGATTACTTCGGCCAGCTGGATGCAAGCTACCCCTACCCACATATATCCTATAAATGGTACCTGCCATTATTTTTTTTTAAAGTTGAAACTGCTCTGGTCAATAGGTATATAAGCTGAATCACTCTAAGAATAAGATAACAGCAAATAAGTTCAGGCAGGATGTCTGTCTTGCTCTTATCAGACATGCTGTTTTTTAGTACAATGTACGCCACAAGTCACAGCAGCACAACTTATTGATCACCATGTAGTTGAAAAATATTAAAAGGCAAGGTGCAAACCAGACTGTAAAGTGTGTAAGGGTGCAGATAAAAGAAGCTAGACTTACATGTACTGCCAACATTGTAATACACATGTATGCTTGACACCCTGTTTCAAACTCTACCACACATTAAAAAATTATCAGTCTTCCAGATAAAAGACCCTTGCAGAGATCTACAGCTGCAGCTTCAACTCCAGTTAATAATGAAAGTAGCTCAGACTTCAACTAGAGGTGCTTTTATAATCAAGCATTTACAAATATTTATTGTGACATGCAAAATAAACACAATGAAAGAAATTTTTTTCACTTTATTCACATTTTTGTTAGCATTTAATGTTGAAATATTTAGTCATTACAAAAAATTGCTCCTATTGAGCTTAATTTATTCATCACCAGCCATGTCCCCAACATTTTATTGCATAGACATTGAACAAATTAACTAAAAATCTGGGGAAAAGATGATGGTTTTAAAACATGTAACATGTTTGCATAATATTTCTTTTCTTCATCTGTCGCAACCATTCATAATGGTGCTCAAACATTTAAAGGTTTTTAATTTAAACAAAATATGAATTTGATTAGAAAACCAGTCATTTTGAAAAAAATCTCTAAAGACCCATGCTATTGAGAGACAGTAATGCACCAGATTGCTAGTAAATCAAGTGTTAACAGATTGTAGAGATGTGGTACTGTGAGACGACTGAACATGTTGTAGAGATGTACTGTCACACTGAACAGACTGGTAATCTTAGTAATCTTAGTTTCAGCTTTATAGCAAACGGGTCACCTCATAGTTGCTCTGTTCCTCTGCCCACGAAAAACACGCAGAATGTCCATCACAGTCCTTTGTGGAGAGATTGACAGACACTGCTGTCTCAGCATATGCACTAGCATACACACGCATTAAAAGCAAATGGTAGCCATCCAAAGTGCTGACAGAAATAGTCAGACATTTTAAAAGCAGTTCATCATCGACGGTAGCAGAAGTTACCAATAGATCAGTAGTTTCACATGCGATCAATTTTAATCACATAAGGGTACCACCAATATTGCGATGACAGGCCATGTGCCATTTTCTGAATCTACAGTTCACAACACCAGGTTGGTCACAGTAAAAAAAAAAAAACATTCCAAATGAAATCCACAGCTCACAGTGTCCCCCTATGCACTCAACTCAGCAGCTGAGTCTACAGATGAAACAAAAATGCAACGGACACTGTCTGGCAGAAGCAAAAAATTTGTCACGATTCAAACAGTGACTGTGCCTAGCGTCGAATTTGACCGGAAGCATTCTAAACAGATTGTAGAGATGTGGTGGTGTAATATTTAACAGATTGTAAAGATGTGGTACTTGACACTAACAGATTGTAGAGATGTGGTACTGTGGTGTGTTAAATTGTTATTGTTAGCTGATGTTCTGTGGTACTGTAGCTTGTTTCTGTCCACTATTTCAGGTTGAACAGATTGTGGAAACAGATGATGGAAAGCTTGGGTCTCTGGCAGCCTTGAGTTTGACAGAAAAACTGGACAAGCGTATGGGCAAGGAGGAAGCAGAAAACTTCTTTGACCGGCTTGAAAGAGACAAGTGGATTAAAAAGGTTCTGGCTGAAAGTTCATATTTTATTATCAATTAATTGCCTTTAATTTGCCATTTTTAATGCTATATTTAATGCGCTATGAGCCACACATACAGTATAGAAAATACAGACATGTAGTAATTGAAAAAATCCAGCCACAATTGTGTAACTACTACAGACAATTATGAATTAAACATTCTGCACATATTATAGAGCAACATTTTCATCATTATTCAGTGTGTGAATTGATGCTAGAGAGAATATTTGTTTATGGTTACAGGTAACATTTCGGTATTGTGTGTGTTTGCACACATGCTTGTGTACATGCATGTGTGTGCATGGGGAGGGGGGGGGGGGGGGGTGCTGGCTGGCTAGCGGCGTGCCTGTCTGTCTGTCTGCCTCTCTTACTGTCTGTCTGTCCCTCTCTCTGTCAGTCTCTGTCTCGGTGTGTGTGTGTGTATGTCTGTCTGTCTCTCTCACTGTGTGTCTGTCTCTCTCTAAGTATGTGGGTGTGTGTGTGTGTCTCTCTCTCACTTTCTTTCTCTTTGCATGTACATTATAAATGTTAGTCAGTGTTTACATATATTAGAGTTGGTTTTCGCTTGTATATGTTTACAAGTATCAACATTAGCCTGTGTTTGCAAGTATCAATATTAGTGAATGTTTACAAGTATTAGTATTAGCGTGTGTTTACAAATATCGTTATTAGCCTGTGTTTACAAGTATCAATATTAGCATGTATTTACAAGTATCAGTATAAGCCTATGTTTACAAATATCAGCATTAGCCTGTGTTTACAGGTGTTAGTATAAGCTTTTGTCTACAAGTATGAGTTTTAACCTATGTTTGATCATCATTTTTACCTTTCCGTCTTTCCAGACGATAGTGTTATTTTGCGCTAGGAGGAGGCATGAGACTCACAGCCCATGGCGATGACGAGTGTGACTAGCAAGACCCGCGCGTGTCAAAAATCATAGTAGAGGTCGGCCTCGACATCTTCTTCCTGTCTTTAATTCACCATAAAGGATGTCCTTAGGGACACTGCCATCCTCCATTCTCCAGGTGTGACCCAGCCACCTGAGTCTTCGTAGACTGAGCATGGAAAAGACAGTTGTAGTACCTGCTCTTTCCAGTACCTCAGTATTTGTGATTTTGTCCTGCCACTTAATGCTGAGTATTCTTCTTAGGCATTGCATGTGAAAGCTATTAAGCCGTCTCTCCTGGTGCAAATAGGGTGACCAAGTTTCACTGCCATAAAGCAGAGTGCTGAGAACACAAGCCTAATAGACAAGAGTTTTTGTTTTAATTGTGAGCTTTCTGTTCTCCCAAACTCTCTTTGTCAATCTGCTCATTGTTGTTCCTACTTTAACTATCCTGGTGTTGATTTCTTGGTCCAGCGATAGTTTACTATTCACTGTGTAACCCAGATAGGTAAAATGGTCTACTGCCTCAAGCTCTTCACCGTCAATGTAGACTGTAGGTCTGTCATTAACACCTTGCACCATAACCTTTGTCTTCTTTTTCCTTACTTTTAGTCCATATTCACAGCACGCATCAGCAAAGGTGATAGTAACAATTGCAGCTTCTCCTCTGAGTGGGTGGTTATTGCGGCATCATCTGCAAACAGCAGCTCTCTGATAAGCACCTTTCTTATCCTGGTTTTGGCCTTCAGCCTGCGAGCATTGTAAAGGCTGCCGTCAGATCGAGAATGAATTAATATACCACCCTCCTGATCACGAAAGACATGTGTCAAAAGAAGTGAAAAGTATATTCCAAAAAGGGTAGGAGCAAGTACATACCCCTGCTTCACTCCATTTTTAATTACAAACTCCTCCGATGTTACATGATCAAAGTTGATTGTATCTTTCATACCTGTGTGGAACGACTCAATAATGCTCAGTAAAGTAGGCGGACACCCAATCTTCTTCTGTGTGTTGAACAGACCTTTTTGACTAACCAAATCAAATGACTTAGTAAGATCAATAAAAGCAACATACAGTGGTTGATTTTGTTCACTGCATTTTTCCTGCAACTGTTGTAATGTAACAGAGTGAGCTCATAGCTTGTTTGTTAAGAGGCACAAAGCTAGAATATTAGGAGATCAACAAGTTTTAGTAACCTTGACATTCCCTTTTCCAGAATCTTCTTTTCCCGCCAAAACTAGCTGTTGACATCAAACTGATGTTGTCTGGCCTTGGCATTCTTTCTAGAAGTTTTGAAATGCGTTTTATTATCATCATGTGACCCAACCTTGTTGTACTAGTAAATACCTTGTTGTCGTGCCTTATCAAAGCAAACGCAATTGTCCTTGTTTTTTAGAAACTTCTATGACCTCAATTGTCAGTTTAACTACTATATCTGTGTAGAATAGGATGATGAAATCTGATGCACTTTAGATATTTTTAGAAAATCCCACGTGAAAACGTACCTAATAAACAAGTGGAGACGTACTAGAATACTCTAGAAGCCTAAGAAAACAAATACCTAGCATTCCAGCATCCAAGTATAAATAACGAGTAACAAAGTACTTTAGCAATTCTTCAGTCCACAAGACTCAAGAGATAAGGGACCAGTCATGGACCCGCACGACAGCCTTCAGTGGTAGAGATGTAAACTCAACACTAGAAGCCTTCAGTCATTGAGACTCAGAGGACGAGCGACTAGTCTTAATGATCCTTGGTGCCAGCTCAACACTGGAAGGAGAGCAGCTGGTCATATTTAGCCTCGAAGACAATCACTAGAGAGTAGACATGAAACGAGACATCGAGCCACAGAAACAAGACACAAGATACCTGGATCCGTGGTTAACGGAGACACATTAGGTAGGAACTATAGAGATGTTAGACTCGACGATCAAGCCGTTAGTACCAGACAGCACTAGAAGCCAGGTGGCAGTTACAGACACTAGAACCAGTTAACAAAGTAACTAGAGATGAAGAACACAAAGCAAACCTACGAGTATTTAGCCATAGAGAGAACACAGCGCTATTTAGAATATCATTGCTGTTATTTTGTGACATTGCTGAAGTATCACAATAAAGACAGTACAGATGAGAACAGTTGTTTCCAGACATTTTATTGTACAAGCATGAGAGTCACGTGAAAGGCATGCAGCTAGCATGACATCATCATCATCACCACCACTATCGAAACGACCATCTTTCTCCTCGTCTATAATCTTCTAATCGACTCCTCCTGTAGCAAAACCTAAAGACGAACCTGGGTGTAACATCAACATACGCAACCAAGAAGAGAGCTGTGCTACAGTAATGAAAATATCATATCAGTGGTAGATCTGTTCCCACAAAAGCCACACTGGGACTCTGGGTAAACGCGGTCCCTTAAGATCTGGAGTCTTCGCAGAACAATTCTCGCAAGCAATTTCCCAACAGTACACAGCAGTGATATTCCCCTGTAGTTATTGCAGTCACTCCGATCACCCTTGTTCTTGTACATAGTTATGATGCTTGTGTCTTTGAAATTTTGCGGAACCTGTCCCTCATGCCAGCAGAGTGTTATTAGCTGATGGATGTGTGGGGTTAGAATGTCTTTCCCACTCCTGATGATTTCAATAGGAATTCCATCACTGCCTGGGGGTTTCCCTGAAGCCAGTTCATCAATAGCATTCCCAACTTCTACAACTGTTGGAAATGTGTCCAGATAGTCAAGAGTTGGTAGCGTCTTCATGGCATTGAGAGCACCATCTGCTAGTTTAGTATCAACTGAGTAAAGCTCCAGATAATGTTCCACCCATCTGTCTAGATGCTTCTTCTTGTCATTATTAATCTCCCCATTCAAATTCCTTAGTGGTGCACTTTTTTTTAAATAGTACGACCGATGGCCTTCTTGATTCCCTCATATATGCCTCTAACATTACCACTACTGCTAGAATTTTGAATGCTTTCACATAACTGGATCCAGAAGTTGTTGGCAAATTGCCTAGCTACCTTTTGCAAATGATTTCTAGCTGCTCTTAATTCAATGAAAGTGTTCCTTGTTGTGCATATGCAGTAACAAGGGTAATAAAACTGCTTGATGTAGACAATCGTAGGGATAATATTCTTTCACTTCCTCCAGTTGGACTCTCAACTGATCCTAACAATGAATTCTTTACCTCAAATCCCACTCCATACATCCTGATTTCTTCCTGGCCTCTGCCTTTCCAGAAAAATTTATAATTATTTTCTCTAATAACCCATCCTTTGGCAGACGGGTTTCCTGTAGGCCAGCAATATCTATGTCAAGTTTGTAGAGTTCAGCATCAATGATACCCGCTTTTCTTACATCAATAATGTTTTCCAGGTCAGTGGAAAACCCTGGACACATGGTTCTCACGTTCCAAGAGCCAAGTCGAAGCTTGGGGTTATGTTTTTTTTCTTTTTAATTGCCTGGTGCATTGGTTTTACAGCCTGCAGTTTGGATTTTGTCTTAGCTCCAAGCACCCATTGAAGCATACAAGCTGCGGCGGATCAACACCTTATTGGCTGGGGGCTGCCCAGCTAGAGACAGGCGGTAGTTGATCAGTGACATTCAAAGATGTTTCCCATTGTCAAAGGCAACCCGTGGCGCCCTCGTCTACACCACCTGACAAGGACTTATAACCTGTAACTGCTGCCTCTCAATTTGTTTCCGAGACCGATTAAGCCAGTGATGAAGTTCCTCCTCTCCATAGCACACTGCCTGGGCAGTATTGTAGAAACCATATGTTGCCCATGCATAATGATCACTCCCTCGACCTGCCTTGTTTACCCCAAAGGAAAGGTAAAACCAGTACGTTTGGAACGAGGCAGGTTGCAGAAGCTGCCGGATCAGAAGAGCAGTGCTCTATCTGTCCACCTGTCAGAGCTTTCCTCCTAGACCAACTGCCAGCCAAGGCCAAGGGCCTGGTCTTCCCTGCCATAACATAAGGTTTTCAGGTTGCATTTCCTCTTCCTAGGATAAGGCTAGTATCCTCCCCAACGCGCTCCTCCGCCCGAAGCCGTTTGCACAATATGGGATGTTGGGTTAATATATGCCGCTCAACATTCGGCGTAACATATACACCTATGTTTACAGGTGTCAATATTAGCCTATATTTACAAGTATCAATATTAGCCTATGTTTACAAGTATCAATATTAGCCTGTGTTTACAAGTATCAATTTTAATCTATGTTTACAAGTATCAGTATAAGCTTATGTTATCTTGTTAGCAGCTTTCTCTCTTTCCAGGTGACAGTATTCCATTGTGCTTTATGGAGGCCTGGGAATCAGACTATAGTTAATGGCAAAACCAGCTCATGTTCAAAAGAATATTTCACAATAATTGCATTGGATTCCAGATCTGTTGTTGCCATCACATATGTGTGTGCATGCGCACATGCGCACTCACACATCTTATGTATGTATAATATGTATGTATTATATATATGTATACACAAGCGTATGTACATTTGCATATGTATATCTACTGTTCCAGGAACTGGATGGAAAAATCTCATTGTCAGTACGCAGCATCGTTGAGCTAGACCAGTATCTCAAGGATATGTATCCAGATGTGATCCGGATATGCTATATTTGTTCCAAATTGTGTTTATTAGTGAGTAGCTCAGTTTATAAACTGTTTGTAATTAAGTCAACGTATAAACTGTTTATTTCTAAGTAACTCAGTTTGCAAACTTTTTGTTTGTAAATAGCTCAATTTGTAAACTGTTTGTAAGTAGCTAAGTTTTTTAACCGTTTGTATGTTTGTAAGTAACTCAGTTTTTTAACTGTAAATAACTCAGTTTGTCAACCATTTGTTGGTAACATAGTTTGTTAACAGTTTCTTTGAAAGTATCCCAATTTGTTAGCTGTTTGTTTATTTGTTTGAAAGTAACTCCATTTATTAACTGTTTGTTTGTAGGAACTTAGTTTGTCAACACTATGTTTGAAAGTAACTCAGTTTGTAAACTGTTTATTTGTAAGTAACTCAGTTTATAAACTTTTTGTTTGTAAGTAAGTGAGTTTATAAATTTCATTTATTTATAAGTAACCCAGTTTGTCAGCTGTTTGTAAATAACTCACTTTGTCAACTCTTTGTTTGTAAGTAACTCAGTTTGTCAACTCTTTGTAACTAACTCAGTTTGTCAACTCTTTGTTTGTAACAACTCTGATTGTCAACACTTTATTTGTGAGTAACTCATTTCATCAACTCTTTGTTTGTGAATAACTCTTTTTGTCAACTCTTTGTTTGTAAGTAACTCAGTTTGTCAACTCTTTGTAACTAACTCAGTTTGTCAACTCTTTGTAAACAACTCTGATTGTCAACACTTTATTTGTGAGTAACTCATTTCATCAACTCTTTGTTTGTGAATAACTCTTTTTGTCAACTCTTTGTAAGTAACTCAGAATGTCAGCTGTTAAACCACATACCTCTCTGATTTCAACAATTCAAAAATTATACCTGTAAAATTGCAAGATCTGAGACACCATATTTCTAATATTTCAACATCTCAGAATGTCAGCTGTGAAACCACATACCTCTCTGATTTCAACAATTCAAAAATTATACCTGTAACATTGCAAGATCTGAGATATCATACTTCTCAGAAATCATATCTCTAAAATTTCAACATCTGAGACACCATATTTCTAATATTTCAACATCTCAGACATCATACCTCTAATATTCCAACATCTGAGACATCATACCTCTAATATTTCAACATCTCAGACATCATACCTCTAATATTTCAACATCTCAGACATCATACCTCTAATATTTCAACATCTCAGACATCATACCTCTAATATTTCAACATCTCAGACATCATACCTCTAATATTTCAACATCTCAGATATCATACCTCTAATATTTCAACATCTCAGACATCATACCTCTAATATTTCAACATCTCAGACATCATACCTCTAATATTTCAACATCTGAGACATCATACCTCTAATATTCCAACATCTGAGACATCATACTTCTAATATTCCAACATCTCAGACATTATACCTCTAATATTTCAACATCTCAAACATCATACCTCTAATATTTCAACATCTCAGACATCATACCTCTAATATTTCAACATCTCAGAAATCATATCTCTAACATTTCAACATCTCAGACATCATGCCTCTTACATTTCAACATCTCAGACATCATACCTCTAATATTTCAACATCTCAGAAATCATGCCTCTAATATTTCAACATCTCAGACATCATACCTCTAACATTTCAACATCTCAGAAATCATATCTCTAACATTTCAACATCTCAGAAATCATATCTCTAACATTTCAACATCTCAGAAATCATGCCTCTAACATTTCAGCATCTCAGACTAGATGCCTGGGACTCACGAGCAAATAAAATGAAGGAAGCTGCAGGAGATGCGGTAGCTGCTGCTCGTGAGTCCTAGCCATCTAGTTTAGCCCCAATTCACTGCTGGGGCGTGGGGGATACTCTCGGCGGTGGTGGAGGTCGCAGGAAGTGCGCAATTTAATTCGCCGGAATTTCGCAATGGACACGTGACTGAGGCCCTGTTAGGGTATATTTTCAGCCTCAATAATTTGGGACAGTTATTCAAAGGATAGCCAATTTATGTAATCAATATTTAGCAAATTAAAATTTTTACAATCTTAACAAGTCTCATAGATCACTGTTCAGTCTTTATTCTCCAACACGGCCTAACGTTCACCACTATTTTCCATGATTCACTGTTTCATAAGTAATTACTCCATCTCAATCAAGTAATTTCACTACTGTTTATCAATAATCATTATCACCACCATGTTAATGCAGTTATTGTCACTGAGTATAACTACTTAACAACTCGCTGTTCATTGGTCATGAAGCATGAGCTACGAGGATCAGTCTACGTTTAATATCAGCTTTACTACCTGACACTTGCTTCATCCATCCAGGTCCCTTCTGTTCGCACTTGGAAGCATACAGCCATGCTTTGGGCGGTCAAAATTGACATGCACCCATTTGGCAGTCAGCGGGACACAGTCGTCTTTCTCTCGTCTTTTTAAATAACTTTCGAAGCAGACAATTCACTTCCACTCCTTCCAGCTGTGGATCAGCTTTCACTCCTTCTCACTCTGGGGCGCTGTCATAGAATGACTTACTGTTCAGCTTCTCACTCTGGGGCACTGTCATTGAATGGCTTACTATTCAGCTTCTCACTCTGGGGTGCTGTCATAGAATGACTTACTATTCAGCTTCTAACTCTGGGGCGCTGTCATAGAATGACTTACTATTCAGCTTCTCACTCTGGGGTGCTGTCACAGAATGACTTACTGTTCAGCTTCTCACTCTGGGGCGCTGTCAAAGAATGACTTACTATTCAGCTTCTCACTCTGGGGTGCTGTGACAGAATGACTTACTGTTCAGCTTCTCACTCTGGGGCGCTGTCATAGAATGACTTACTGTTCAGCTTCTCACTCTGGGGCGCTGTCACAGAATGACTTACTGTTCAGCTTCTCACTCTGGGACGCTGTCATAGAATGATTTACTATTCAGCTTCTCACTCTGGGGCGCTGTCACAGAATGACTTACTGTTCAACTTCTCACTCTGGGACGCTGTCACAGAATGACTTACTATTCAGCTTCTTACTCTGAGGCGCTGTCATAGAATGACTTACTGTTCAGCTTCTCTCTCTGGGGCGCTGTCATAGAATGACTTACTCTGAGGCACTGTCATAGAATGACTTACTGTTCAGCTTCTCACTCTGGGGCGCTGTCACAAAATGACTTACTGTTTAGCTTCTCATTCTGGGGCGCTGTCATAGAATGAATCACTATTCAGCTTTTTCCTCAGTTATCTCATATTCCTAAGTCAGCTCACACAGTCCCGTGTTTTTCCTCTGCCACGTCAACTTCATGTCTTACAGCCTGGGAACTTTCTCAGTTCTACCCACCAATCAAACCCTTACATTATCCTATATTTAACATCACTACATATTTGAATTAATTTGTTGCTGACAATGTTTGTTTATGGGAGTCACTGTGGCAGAGCGGCTAGACGTTTGCCACTGATCGGAAGGTCGTGGGTTCACTCCCTGGCAGAGCTGGACTTTTTTTTTTTCAAAAATGACCTTGGCTTCCAGGTTGACCCAGCCTTGAGCAGTCCCGTGAAGTAAAGGCGTCCAGCATGATGCTGACCACATCACCCATCTTGTACCAATCGTTCTATAAAATATAGGTCTAGCCCTATATGCCCTAAACGCCTAAAGGCGTAGAAAAGGGTCCTTTAATTTTTTTTTAACACTATGTTTGTTCATATGTGTGCTTATTGCCTATTTGGGCACCTGTTTATTATCTGTTCGTGTGGCTGTTTGTGTTTGTGTGACGTTTTTTTGTTTGTTTGTGCATCTGTATACTGTCTGTTTTCTGTACATATGTATATTGTCTGTTGTCTGTCTGTGGACCTGTGTTTTGTCTGTTTGTTTGTGCACCTGTGTATTGTCTGTTGTCTTTCTGTGCACCTGTGTATTGTCTGTTGTCTGTTTATGGGCCTTTTTTACTGTCTGTCTGTGCATCTCTATATTGTTTGTCTATGGGCATGTGTATTGTCTGTTTGCGGTCATTTTTTATTGTTAAATTTTTATTTGGTGTGCTTCTTTATTGTGTTTGTACTGATGTGTTTCCCAGGGTGAGAACTGTGACAGTTGTACCATCAAAATTCACAAAAAGTGTGCCCGGACACTGTTTGAACATTGCACAGAGAAACGATGTCCGGACAAGAACTGCAGATCTGTGTGGGGATAAGTGTACTTTGTAGATTTTAGACACGTTATGTGTGTTATAAATCTTGAACAGTATGTGCGTGTGCTTTTCTGCTGCCTATGCTAGTACTCTGGAAGCAGCAGTTATCTCGGGGGTCATGTTTGATGTAGCTGTCTGGGAAGGGCCACTGTCCTCTTTTATTGTTTTCCTCATCCTTTGTGCAGTGTATGCCCATGCTGACCTTGACACATGCTTCACGGACCCATCTGTGTAGATAATGATGTCTTGTGGGTGGGAATGCTGATCTATCAGTGCCCTTATCTCGATCTTTACGGCTGCAGGAATCTGGCTGCTGCAGGAATCTGGTTGCTGCAGAGATCTGGTCCCTGGTAATACCTCCCAGTGTGATGACAAACTTAGAAAAGTCACGCATGTCTGCTGGTATATCTATTCATTTTTTTCCATGACTGATCTCATCCAGGTCACATACCTGCTTAATTAAATTTTCAGCCCTGCCACCCAGGAGTGGCCTCTTTTGAGACACTTTCCTTTTATGTCATTAGTAGCTTTGTGCAATGGGTGATTAATGCTGGCTGATACGCTCATGTACACCTTGACCTACGCAACTTTGTGTCTGTGCAACTTTATGTCTGGTAGCTATAGTCTACCACATGCTGTAATGTAATTTCATTCCCATTTCTTCATCGTCAGTACACACAACATTGTTCTTTATACACTGGTGACTCCTGCTGTGTACACATTGGTGATCTCTGGGGCAGATCCATTAGGGCACACAGTATATATGTATGAAACAGTGCAGGTTTGTGAAGAGCAGTAAAATGTATATTGATTATGTTATATTATCACAGTCGACGTCTTTGCACATTGGGCATCCTAATGCAGGATACCTGTACTGAGTGTTCCAATGAGGATTTGGTTATCTCCTGTCTTTACCTCGAAGAGAGCATAGTCTTGCTTCACCAAGCTTAACTCCTCAGTCATGCAGTGGTGTTAGCGACAGAGATTCGCTACTATCCCCAATACTAGTCCGTACAGCGTTGATGATATCAGCTCTGTCCATGCTTCTTCCCATTTGCATTGGTGCTTTACTTGCTTGCTGGTCAGCTCTTTCATCACCATTTATTCCTGTCCAGGTGTGTAGATCCAGACGATGCTTGACATAGTCTACTGGTAAGCACTGCTATTCTCTTTTATTTTTTCCCCCATCCTTCGTGCTATGTATACCCATGCTGAACTTGACCTTGACTTCACGGACCCATCTGTGTAAATGACGTCTTCTGGGCATGAATGCTGATCAATCAGTGCCCTAATCTCTGCCTGTACAGTGCCAGGTGTCTAATTCCTGTAGTACCTCTCCAGTCTTATTACAGCCTTAGAGAAGTCATGCATGTCTACTGGTGCATCCATCCATTCTTTTCTGTGACTGATCTCGTCTAGGTCACATACTTGCTGGATTAGATTTTCTGCCTCGGCCATCCAAAGGAACCTCTTTTTAAATGCATGCTTTTTATATAATTGATTGCATTGTGCAGTGGGTGGTTGATGCCTGCTGATATCTTCGTGTATGCTTTCACCGGTGCCACTTTATTTCTGGTGGCTATGGTAGAAAAGTCAGACCATACCGCATGGTATGGCACGACGTGTCTTTTTTTTTGGGCGGCAGAGTAGGAGTCTCATGGCCTCATTTTGTACCCGGTCCAGACTTTCTAGCTGGGTTCAGCTGACACTGAGGAGGCTCAGACCGTAATCTATAAAACTGTAGATTGGTGATTTGATGTGCTATACATCTGTGTCATACGCCAAGGACCTATATTAGTTATTGTCTTCCAGAGTGCCGCACCCACACTGTATTAAAGGCTTGTTAAAATATGTGAGTACATGATATTGATAAATTAATTTGTGAATTATAAAGAAACATATTTGTGACTGTGAACCAATGTTGTGGTTGTATCAGGTGAGGTCAGCCATCAAATAGTCATACAGTTTTAAAGGACATCAAAGACATGTCTCATCCTGGCTAAAACAGTAGATAAACAGCAGTTCTTGTCTACAACAGTAGATAAACATCACTTCTTTACAACAGTAGATAAACATCATTTCTCATCTACAAACAGTAGATAAACAGCAGTTCTTGTTTACAACTGTAGATAAACAGCAGTTCTTGTTTACACCAGTAGATAAACATCAGTTCTTGTTTACAACAGTAGATAAACATCACTTCTTGTTTACAACAGTAGATAAACATCACTTCCTGTTAACAACAGTAGATAAACAGCAGTTCTTGTTTACAACAGTAGATAAACATCAGTTTTTGTTTACAACAGTAGATAAACATCACTTTTTGTTTATAACAGTAGATAAACATCACTTCTTGTTTACAACAGTAGATAAACATCACTTTTTGTTTACAACAGTAGATAAACATCACTTCTTGTTTACAACAGTAGATAAACATCACTTCTTGTTTACAACAGTAGATAAACATCACTTCTTGTTTACAACAGTAGATAAACATCACTTCTTGTTTACAACAGTAGATAAACATCACTTCTTGTTTACAACAGTAGATAACAGCAGTTCTTGTTTACAACAGTAGATAAACAGCAGTTCTTGTTTACAACAGTAGATAAACATCACTTCTTGTTTACAACAGTAGATAAACATCACTTCTTGTTTACAACAGTAGATAAACATAAATTCTTGTCTACAACAGTAGGAAAATGAAAGACCCCTGCCACACCATTCAGGCATATTGGGCATGTAGGGCTATAACTATATCTTGGTGGTGATGTGGTCAGCATTACACCGGCTACCTTTACTTCCCATTTAAGGCTGGGTTGACCTGGAAACCAAGGTCATTTCTGGGAAAACAAAAGCTAGCACTATCTGGATGTGAACCAACTACCTTTGGATCCTCAGTCAAGCCTCTAGCCTCTACACTATGGCGGCTCCCCTAGAATCCTGTCTAAAACAGTACACAGACCTAAATTCCTGTCTGTGACAGTACATAGACATCATTTCTTGTCTACAACATTTTTGGGAGGACTAGTAGGGAATGGACGGATTTTGATAAAATATGGCTTTCACTGTGCATAAATATCTCTGAAGGTTTAACAGTCTTTACCACAGAACATACACTTATAATCTCAACTCTTTATAGCATGGTGCAAGAACTTTATATCTCAGGCAAAATTCTATAACACACAATAATTCTATAGTAGGATAAGAACTTTATAGCATAGGCAAATATTCTTTAGCACACAATAATCTATAGAAGGACAAGAACTTTATAGCAAAGGCAAACATTCTAAAACACATAATAATCTATAGAAGGACAAGAACTTTATAGCAAAGGCAAACATTCTAAAACACACAATAATCTATAGAAGGACAAGAACTGTATAGCACAGGCAAATATTCTTTAGCACACAATAATCTATAGAAGGACAAGAACTGTATAGCACAGGCAAATATTCTTTAGCACACAATAATCTATAGAAGGACAAGAACTGTACGGCACAGGCAAATATTCTTTAGCACACAATAATCTATAGAAGGACAAGAACTGTACGGCACAGGCAAATATTCTTTAGCACACAATAATCTATAGAAGGACAAGAATATATTTATAGCACAGGCAAATATTCTTTAGCACACAATAATTCTATAGTAGGACAAGAACTTTATAGCATAGGCAAATATTCTTTAGCACACAATAATCTATAGAAGGACAATAACTTTATAGCACTTTGCAAGAACTCAGTAATACAGACCCAAAAATATGCTATAACACAGGCAAGAACTTTATCGATCAGGCAGTTATTCTGTAGAAAAAGGTAACTAGAATATCTTTGTAGTGGAACCCATAAGGGGCATAGAAATAGAGGCAGACCCAAAAAAATGAATTAGGCAGCCAGGAACTGAAGTTAAAATGAGGGGATGATATGGGGTGAACTGCATGACGTAGCAAAGTTTAAAAGAAAACTTGGCGTGGCATCAGTAGGGATAATTGCCGTTTAGCTGATGACCAAAAGTGTTAAATACAACATAAATTTCGACCAGAAAACTCAACAAAGGGAACGGACAAATACAACCACTGTTTTGACAAAAGTATTTATCATACAACATGAAGACTTTGGTTATAAATTAGGCTGACTTTTGTGTGTCTGTTTTGTTCGCTCTGTTGTGTTCTAGTCGCATTTGATGTTGTATTTAGCACAACTTGCTGAAAGTTGGAGGACGACCTACTCTCTCATGGGGGGATACAGGACAGAAGAAGAATCATATCTATACCATATTGCAAGATCTCTATGGCGCTGCAGTAAATCTAAGCACAGGCAAAAACTCTATAACATTGACAAGAACTCTATAGCACACACAAATGCTACAGCACAGACACAAACTCCATACCACAGGCAAGAAATATAGCACTGACAAAATCTCTATAGCACACATAAACTTGAAGAACAGTACATATATATATATATATATATATATATATATATATATATATGGTGTCTCCCCTACAATACACAGATTCTGTCACCCCAGCAATACATAGACACATAATGTCTCCCCTACAATACACAAACACATGGTATCTCCCCTACATTACCCAGACACATGGTGTCTCCCCTAGAATACACAGACACAAGATGTCTCCCCTACAATACAGATACATGATGTCTCCCCTTCAATACACAGGCACATGATGTCTCCCCTACAATACACAGACACATGATGTCTCCCCTGCAATACACAGACACATGATGTCTCCCCTACAATACACAGACACATGATGTCTCCCCTACAATACACAGACACAAGGTGTCTCCCCTACAATACACAGACACATGATGTCTCCCCTACAATACACAGACACATGATGTCTCCCCTACAATACACAGACACAAGGTGTCTCCCCTACAATTCACAAACACATGATGTCTCCCCTACAATACACAGACACATGATGTCTCCTCTACAATACACAGACACATGATGTCTCCCCTACATTACACAGACACATGGTGTCTCCCCTACAATACACAGACACATGGTGTCTCCCCTACAATACTCATACACATGATGTTTTCCCCACAATACACAGACACAAGGTGTCTCCCCTACAATACACAGACACATGATGTCTCCCCTCCAATACACAGACACATAATGTCTCCCCTACAATACATAGACACATGATGTCTCCCCATAATATATAGACATAGATATGCATGTGGACAAGCCCAAACTTAAGAACTATATTATTACAAATCACATCACTGTTATAGATCGGCTTGGACCTGTCTGCAGGTATGGAAAGATTGTCTCTGCCTTCGTTGAGTTGCCTTGAATCCTCTCTCTGCAAAATATCAAAGCTGATTCACTTGGAATACGAGAATGATGGATCTGGCTAACAACACACTCAGAGTAAAGTAACCTATTTGCCCACATCACTGAAAGAAATAGTTGACTCAGTATATTTGTATATATGGGTGTCATCTATGTGGCTGTCACTGAAATAGTTGCTAAGTATGTTTGTCTGTATGATGTCATCTATATGACTGTCACTGAAATAATTGACTCAGTATATATACTGTTCAAAAAAAAAAAAAAAGAAAAAAAAGAAATGCATAGTTACTGAAAGGAACAAACATACAATTTTGACATTCTGTATCTTTGTAATGCAGTTAGGGAAATTACTCAAATTTCACACAAGAATACCTTAGGGTTCCACCGATCAATTAGTTTTTAAGCGTAGGCCTTTCCTGTTAGTATGGTGTGTGGTCACTCTTGCGTGGATCAGTGACTGGCATCTCCTTAGCATGGATGCGATCAGATGTCTGGTGTGGGATGGCTGCCCACTCTTCATGGAGTGCATGAAACAGATCACGACTATTGGCTGGAGCAACGTTTCGGTGACATACACATCTTTGCAGCTCATCCCACACGTGCTCAATCGGACTCATGTCTGCAGACATGGAAGGGTTTGAATGTTTTTGGCAGCCAGTAACTGCTTGGTCAGCTTTGCAGAATGGAGTCTGGTGTTGTCCTGTTGATAAAGATATCTGTTGGCATCCCAAAATGGAAGGACAAGTGGTTGAAGAATTTCATGGACGTATCGTTGCACATTTAAGCTTCCATTAATGTGTACCAATTGACTCTTTCCATTGTAACTGATCATTCCCCATTCCATTAATGTGTACCAATTGACTCCTTCCATTGTAACTGATCATTCCCCATTCCATTAATGTGTACCAATTGACTCCTTCCATTGTAACTGATCATTCCCCATTCCATTATTGTGTACCAATTGACTCCTTCCATTGTAACTGATCATTCCCCATTCCATTAATGTGTACCAATTGACTCCTTCCATTGTAACTGATCATTCCCCATTCCATTAATGTGTACCAATTGACTCCTTCCATTGTAACTAATCATTCCCCATTCCATTAAACCTCCACCACTGTGCTGTAGAGCTTCATCAACACAATTTTGGGCTAAACCTTCACTTCGTCTATGGCAGACCCTGTGTGTCTATCATGATGCTGCAACAACAACAAAAATACTCGTCACTGAACTAGACACATCTCCACTGATTGTCACTTGCCCAGGGACGATGTTGGTTGGCCCAAAGAAGTTGCTTTTGGCGGTGGCGACGTGTAAAGACAGGTCCTCAGTGTGGTCGTGGAGCCCAAAGTCCAACATCATGCAGTCTGTTCCGAACAGTTTGATCAGACACATGACGTCCTGGAGGCAATGCTGTGCAGTTGAGGAAGCTGTTGTAAACCTGTCTCTAAGGTGACGAAGCCGAATAAGGCGATTCTCCGCTGCTGTTGTCACTCTGTGTCGTCCACTGCGATGTTGGTCATCAACTAAACCAGTGGCTTGGAACCGGTGCCAAAGTCGACTGATGATACTCTGATGCACGTTTAGATTCCTAGCAACCTGACTTTGACTTTCTCCTGCCTGCAATCGGCCAATAGAAATATTCCTCAAACTTATCGAAAGAAAGCACCATTCGTGACTGCTTGAAAATGAACTGATTGTTTTGGTTTCAATTGCGTAGGCAGTAAATAGTGTTCATCGCAAATTGTGTTGCTTTCTTGTACACGCATCGTGAGCTATGCTCACAAATATGGTCTTAAACACAACTGACCACTGCGTTGTAACGATTACAAAAACCCATGCAATTCACGCCCACATGTCTACTGGACACGGTAAACATTTGAGTCTGCTTTTCACATACCAGAGTACGGTATTTTATTTACATACTAAAAAAAAAAAAACCCGCGCCATCGGATAACTTTGCGTTTCTTTTTTTTGAACAATATATGTCTATATGTCATCTATGTGACTGTTTCACTCAAATAGCTGACTCAGTATATTTGTCTAATATGAGTGCCATCTATCTGACTGTGTCACTGAAATAGTTGACTCAGTATATCTGTCTATATGAGTACCATCTATTTGACTGTGTCACTGAAATAGTTGACTCAGTATATCTGTCTTTATGAGTGTCATTTGTTTGACTGTGTCACTGAAATAGTTGACTCAGTTTGTCTTTATGAGTGTCATCCATATGACTGTGTCATTGGAATAGTTGACTCGTTATATCTATCTATATGGGTGTCATCTATTTGACCGTGTTACTGAAACAGTTGACTCTGTATATCTGTCTATATGAGTCATCTAAATGACTGTCACTGAAATAGTTGACTCAGTATATCTGTCTACATGAGTGTCACCTATTTGACTGTGTCACTCAAATAGTTGACTCAGTATATCACCTATTTGACTGTGTCACTCAAATAGTTGACTCAGTATATCTGTCTATATGAGTGTCATCTATATGACTGTATCACTCAAATAGCTGATTCAGTATATCTGTCTATATGAGTGTCATCTATGTGACAGTGTAACTAAAATAGTTGACTCAGTATATCTGTCTATATGAGTGTCATCTATGTGACAGTGTAACTAAAATAGTTGACTCAGTATATCTGTCTAGATGAGTGTCATCTATATGACTGTATCACTCAAATAGCTGACTCAGTATATCTGTCTATATGAGTGTCATCTATGTGACAGTGTCACTAAAAAAGTTGACTCAGTATCTCTGTCTAGATGAGTGTCATATATATGACTGTCACTCAAATAGCTGACTCAGTAAATATGACTATATGAGTGCAATCTGTATGACTGTCTCTTAAATAGCTTACTTAGTATATCTGTCTACATGAGTATCATGTATATGGCTGTGTCATTGAAATAGTTGACTCAGTATATATGTATATTTGAGTGTTATCTATATGTCACTGAAAAAAGCTGACTCAGTTATCTGTCTATATGACTGTGTCACTCTAACAGTTGACTCAGTATATCTGTCTATACGAGTGTCATCTATATGAATGTGTCCTGAAAAAAGTTGACTCAGTATATCTGCCTATCAAAGTATCATCTATATGACTGTGTCACTCAAACAGTTGACTCAGTACATCATTTTAACACAGGCTGGGGTGGGGGCACAGAGGATGACAGCGTGTTTGGGAGTGATGAATGGAGACTCAATCAATTTGAGTGGGTAATTAGTCAGATGTCTGCCCTTCTGTGAGGCCCAGATTATATTGCGTCTTCATGTTTTATTCTCATAATTATAGCAGGGTGTGCTATTTTTGGCCTGCAGGCGATGGTTTTTTTTTTTAAATCTCTCAGTCCATCTGCCCACCTATTTGTGTGTCTAGCTATATGTCTGCATCTGTATACATTTATCTGTATGCCTGCCTATCTGTCTGTCTAACTAGCTAGCTGTCTATTGACCTGGTTTAAAAAAAAAATCTCTTAGTCCATCTGCCCAACTATTTGACTGTTTATTTTTGCATATATTTGTATTTATCTGTCTGTATGCCCATCTGTCTGTCTATATTTGATGCTATTGATAAAGTTTACTATTACTTGATGTGTAAATGAAATGATGAATGAAAGGAGGGATAGCTGACTCAGTTTATCTGTCTTTATGAGTGTCATCTAAATGACTGTGTCACTGAGTGACATGCTTGCCTGCCCCAGTCATCATTCTGACTGTATGACTCAGAGAAGTGACTGATTATTTATCATTTATGAAAAATGTCTACACATGTGACTTTACTGTGTCACTTTCTGGCATAGCTTAGGTGCAAGAGGATGATACTTACATTGCTGGCTGTACACAGTCGATTTCAGAGGGACACAAGCATACTGGCTGTACATAGTATAGATTTCAGAGGTGTACAAGCATACTGGCTGTACATAGTATAGATTTCAGAGGGACACAAGCATACTGGTTGTACATAGTATAGATTTCAGAGGGACACAAGCATACTGGCTGTACATAGTATAGATTTCAGAGGTGTACAAGCATACTGGCTGTACATAGTATAGATTTCAGAGGTGTACAAGCATACTGGCTGTACATAGTATAGATTTCAGAGGTGTACAAGCATACTGGCTGTACATAGTATAGATTTCAGAGGTGTACAAGCATACTGGCTGTACATAGTATAGATTTCAGAGGTGTACAAGCATACTGGCTGTACATAGTATAGATTTCAGAGGTGTACAAGCATACTGGCTGTACATAGTATAGATTTCAGAGGTGTACAAGCATACTGGCTGTACATAGTATAGATTTCAGAGGTGTACAAGCATACTGGCTGTACATAGTATAGATTTCAGAGGTGTACAAGCATACTGGCTGTACATAGTATAGATTTCAGAGGTGTACAAGCATACTGGCTGTACATAGTATAGATTTCAGAGGTGTACAAGCATACTGGCTGTACATAGTATAGATTTCAGAGGTGTACAAAGCATACTGGCTGTACATAGTATAGATTTCAGAGGTGTACAAGCATACTGGCTGTACATAGTATAGATTTCAGAGGTGTACAAGCATACTGGCTGTACATAGTATAGATTTCAGAGGTGTACAAGCATACTGGCTGTACATAGTATAGATTTCAGAGGTGTACAAGCATACTGGCTGTACATAGTATAGATTTCAGAGGGACACAAGCATACTGGCTGTACATAGTATAGATTTCAGAGGGACACAAGCATACTGGCTGTACATAGTATAGATTTCAGAGGTGTACAAGCATACTGGCTGTACATAGTATAGATTTCAGAGGTGTACAAGCATACTGGCTGTACATAGTATAGATTTCAGAGGTGTACAAGCATACTGGCTGTACATAGTATAGATTTCAGAGGTGTACAAGCATACTGGCTGTACATAGTATAGATTCAGAGGTGTACAAGCATACTGGCTGTACATAGTATAGATTTCAGAGGTGTACAAGCATACTGGCTGTACATAGTATAGATTTCAGAGGTGTACAAGCATACTGGCTGTACATAGTATAGATTTCAGAGGTGTACAAGCATACTGGCTGTACATAGTATAGATTTCAGAGGTGTACAAGCATACTGGCTGTACATAGTATAGATTTCAGAGGTGTACAAGCATACTGGCTGTACATAGTATAGATTTCAGAGGTGTACAAGCATACTGGCTGTACATAGTATAGATTTCAGAGGTGTACAAGCATACTGGCTGTACATAGTATAGATTTCCAGAGGTGTACAAGCATACTGGCTGTACATAGTATAGATTTCAGAGGTGTACAAGCATACTGGCTGTACATAGTATAGATTTCAGAGGGACACAAGCATACTGGCTGTACATAGTATAGATTTCAGAGGGACACAAGCATACTGGCTGTACATAGTATAGATTTCAGAGGTGTACAAGCATACTGGCTGTACATAGTATAGATTTCAGAGGTGTACAAGCATACTGGCTGTACATAGTATAGATTTCAGAGGTGTACAAGCATACTGGCTGTACATAGTATAGATTTCAGAGGTGTACAAGCATACTGGCTGTACATAGTATAGATTTCAGAGGTGTACAAGCATACTGGCTGTACATAGTATAGATTTCAGAGGTGTACAAGCATACTGGCTGTACATAGTATAGATTTCAGAGGTGTACAAGCATACTGGCTGTACATAGTATAGATTTCAGAGGTGTACAAGCATACTGGCTGTACACAGTCCAGATTTCACAGGTGGACAAACATTCTGGGTGTACACAGTCCAGATTTCAGAGGGACACAAGCATACTGGCTGTACACAGTCTAGATTTCAGAGGTGCACAAGCATACTGGCTGTACACAGTCTAGATTTCAGAGGTGCACAAGCATACTGGCTGTACACAGTCTAGATTTCACAGGTTTACAAACATTCTGGGTGTACACAGACCAGATTTCCCAGGTGTACAAATTTACTAGCTGTACACGGTCCTGATTTCACAAGTGTACAACCATGTACAAACAAGCATGCTCAGTATATGTACCTACAGAAATGGTACATTATTTTTCATCCATTAACACTTGAGTCTAGCAAAACTGGATACAGTTGTGTATACTTATTGTAAAGCTGGATGCAGGTGTGAATACTTATTTTAAGATTGGATGTATGTTTGGTTACTGTAAAACAGGATGCAGTATGTGTACTTACTGTAAAACTTTTGATACTTGTTGGCTCAGTTTGCCTGTGTTTGACTTGAAGACACTGCTGTGGCCATTCACATTTTGGGCCTCTTCAAATTTCTGAATGTCGTAACGACCAGGGCCAACTGGGTTCTGATTGAAGAGACATTTGATAAGAAAGATTTCTAGCCAACACAAGTAAATACAACTTGAAACAACGTAAAAGTTCAACTGCCTCCTTTAATTACTTTCAACAAGCCACAGAAAAAAAGTAAAGGAGAAATATTGCAGAAGATAGATAGATGTGAAAGGTTTGTATCTTATTGTCTCCTCCTTGTGCCTCAGTGGAGCATAGGTCCCTAACCAGCTGGTACCACGCCATTCCATTCTTTGGCACTGCATTTGGTTTGCATCCTTGAGAACATTAGATGAGGAGAGGAGTGGGTCAAAGTGCCACCTGAACAGTCAGACTTGTGTAGGGTCATAATCACACTGAGCCGGGAATGCAGAGACCTGCCAGCAGGTGCCACAGAGACGGAAATTCAGCAATTAATTCAAGATAATGCTCGCTCAGAAGATTTGATCATGTACACAGAAGGTTCAGTGTCAAGAGGCAAAAGAAGTGCTTGGGCTTTCTTAGCAAAAGATAATGGTCGGCGTTTGGTGCAGGAGAGCTTAGCAAATGATACCACAACATCCAGCTTAAGAATGGAAATGGAGGCAGTCACAGCAGCTTTCCGCTGGCTAGAAAACACGACACACTCACACATCATGATGACTCAAAAAGCATGATGAGGAAGATCAGGACAGGCATGCTTCGTGCAGAGTGGTACGGAGGACACGGGTGAGAAGAATTGTCTGGATTTTTAGCACCAGGGCATGCTGGTGTGTTAGGAAATGAACAGGTGAACAGACTAGCTGGCTCTGCAAAACTTAGTGGAATACTGATTTAGGATAAGGCAGACGTGCTGAGTGCCTTTTAGGAGAGCGTGTACAGTTCGGAGGAGCAGATTGATCATCACAGTGTGGTGAGATTTATGCAGTTGGGAGTGACGAGAGGTTCTGGCAGATGCTCGAGGCTCAGAGGAAAGACAAGACGGACATTTAATCAGAATGCTGCTGGCACCATCAGTATCGGAACTCTTCACTGGCTGCTGAAGATGGGGACGGAGCGCTTATGGGAATGCCCCGAGTGCTGTGAGGTCGGTTCTTGAATCAAATCAATCAATCAATCAAGCCTGCATGCAGCTCTCACTGTGTTCTGCCAGTGTTCTTCCCTATGTTCTATTAATTCTTTCCCCAAATCTCCCTATGTTCTTTGCATGTTCTCCCTGTGTTCTCCCATGCTTTTCCTATGTTCTCCCCATGCTCTCCCGTGTTCTCCAAACACTTTCTCTGTATGCTATCCTCCTGTTTTCCCCAAGTTCTCCTCATGCTCTCCCCTTGTTCTCCCCGCATTTTCCCTATGCTGCCTATATGCTATCCTCATGTTTTCCCAAGTTCTCCCCATGCTCTCCATGTGTTTTCCCTAAATTTTCACCCATGTTCTCATCATATTCTTCACATGCTCTTTCCATGTTTTCTCATATTCTGAGTCTCTAGTTCTCCTCTCTGTGTCCTCACTAATCTCAATACAATTCTTTGACCTTGTGTGTTTCAACGCAGGGACATTCTAGTTAAATTATTAACAGTTTTTTTTTTCTCGCTGTGTATATTATTTAACTGTCCTATCCAACACCGGTGTCTTTTCCTCACCTTTAGATATTATCTCCAGGTCTTGTCAGTGTTTTGGGAAAAGGTCAAGTAGACTGGCCAGTTCTGCGACACTTGGTGGTGAATCCACAATTGACAAGCTAGATGTTATGAGTTCTCTTTGGAAGCATGAGAACAGTGCATAGATCATTACGATCTAAGGAGAATGGTGAAAATTACAAGGGTATCTGGTCGATGCTCAACACTCAAGTAAAAGGTGAGACAAATGTACAATCAAACAGTTGCTGATGCCATCAGAATTTGAACTCTTCACTTGCTGCTGAAGGTGGGGATGGAGTGCCTATAGGGATGTTCCAAGTGCTATGATGTCGATTCTTAATTCAACAAATAACATCTTCACGTTTTTATTTGCTGAATTTGCCTCCACATTAATGATTATTGTCTATAATTTAATTCCCTCTATTTTGCTCAAAGATCAGTTAATTAATGTCTGGAGTTTATTAGTAACTGTTTTAGTTATTATGTGTTATCTTGTAGTTCCAATACAGAATCACATTAGACTGGCTATTTGTTCTATTACAGCATCACCTTAGACTGACTGTTCTATTACAGCATCACCTTAGACTGACTGTTCTATTACAGCATCACCTTAGACTGGCTGTTCTGTTATAGCATCTCCTTAGACTGGCTGTTTGTTTTGTTACAGCATCATCTTAGACTGGCTGTTCTATCACCACCTTAGACTGGCTGTTCTGTTATAACATCACCTTAGACTGGCTGTTCTGTTATAACACCACCTTAGACTGGCTGTTCTGTTATAACACCACCTTATACTGGCTGTTCTGTTACAGCATCACCTTAGACTGGCTGTTCTGTTATAACACCACCTTAGACTGGCTATTTGTTCTGTTACAGCATCACCTTAAACTGGCTTTATGTTCTGTTACAGCATCACTTTAGACTGGCTGTTCTGTTATAGCATCCCCTTAGACTGGCTGTTTGTTTTGTTACCAGCATCATCTTAGACTGGCTGTTCTGTTTTAACACCACCTTAGACTGGCTGTTTGTTTTGTTACCAGCATCATCTTAGACTGGCTGTTCTGTTTTAACACCACCTTAGACTGGCTATTTGTTCTGTTACAGCATCACCTTAGACTGGCTGTTCTGTTACAGCATCACCTTAGACTGGCTGTTCTGTTACAGCATCACCTTAGACTGGCTGTTCTGTTACAGCATCACCTTAGACTGGCTTTTTTGTTACAGCATCACCTTAGACTGGCTGTTTTGTTACAGCATCACCTTAGACTGGCTGTTCTGTTACAGCATCACCTTAGACTGGCTGTTCTGTTACAGCATCACATTAGACTGGCTGTTCTGTTACAGCATCACCTTAGACTGGCTGTTCTGTTACAGCATCACCTTAGACTGGCTGTTCTGTTACAGTACCTTAGACACTGTTTCTGTTACAAGCATCACTTAGACTGGCTGTTCTGTTACAGGATCACCTTAGACTGGCTGTTCTGTTACAGTATCACCTTAGACTGGCTGTTTTGTTACAGCATCACCTTAGACTGGCTGTTTGTTCTGTTACAGCATCACCTTAGACTGGCTGTTCTGTTACAGTATCACCTTAGCATGTTTTGTTACAGCATCACCTTAGACTGTTCTCCTACAGCACATCTTAGTTTGTTCTGTTACATCATTTACAGCATCAATCTTGAACTGTTACAGCATATTAGACTGGCTGTTACAGCATCACCTTATTGGTTCTGTTGCTAGACTGGCCATCTGTTAAAGTTACAGACATCAACCTTAGACTTTGTTACAGCATCACCTTAGACTGGCTGTTCTTTACAGCATTTAGACCTGGCTGTTCTGTTACAGCATCACCTTAGACTGGAACAGCATTTAGACTGGCTGTTCTGTTGCAGCTCACCGTAGACTGGCTCTGTGTACAGCAGCACCTTGAGACTTGTGTTCTTTACACAGCATCATCTTAGACTGGCTGTTTGTTCTGTGACAGCACAGAATCACTTCAGACTGGCTGTTTTTCCTGTTAGACACCCTGCTGGTTTGTTCAGTCACCTTAGAACTGGCTGTTGCTGTTACAGGACCGTTTCATCACCTTAGACGGCTGTTAGACTGGCTAATAGTTCTGTTACACAATTACCTTAGACTGGCTGTTTCTGTTACAGCATCATCTTAGACTGGCTGTTTGTTCTGTGACAGCATCACCTGAGATTGGCTGTTTGTTGTTACAGTGTCATCTTAGACTGGCTGTTTGTTCTGTTACAACATCATCTTAGATTGACTGGCTGTTCTGTTAAAGCATCATCTGAGACAGGTGGCAGAGCACTTATGGTTTATAACTGTGTGTAATGGCACTGGTTCACATCTCCCGACTTTACCTTTTTTTTTTTTTAGACATGCTGTTTGCTATGTTATAGCATCATCTGATACAGGCTGTTTGTTCTGTTAAAGTAGCGGACAGGCTGTTAATTCTGTTACAGCAACATCTGATACAGGCTGTTTGTTTTGTTACAGTTTATCATTAGACTAGCTGTTTATTCTCTTACAGCATCATTTTAGACTGACTGACTGTTCTGTTACAGTATCAATTTAGACTGGCTGTTTGTTCAGTTACAGCATTGTCTTAGACTGGCTGTTTGTTATATTACAGCATTGTCTTAGATTGGCTGTTTGTTCTGTTACAGCATAATCTTAGACTGGCTGTTTTTGATAAGTTGTCTTCAAATTCTTGCCTCTTTCAAAACATTTGGGTTTCTGTTTTTAGCTTTCCAAGGAATTCTAAGGATCCTTCTGTGAAACCACAACTCCGTGGCCTCAAAAAATTGTTTGACCTGTTTATTAATTACAGAAGAATCTACAGTTACGAAATGTGCAGTTTTCTTTCTGTTACTGAAAATATTATACATTTTTAAGACGTTTCTGATTCAGACATAAATTAATAAAAAGACCTATATAGAGGTTTGTTCTCTTGAAACATGAATTTGTGTCAGATGTTACTCACAAAATTTCTAGTGAAAAATTTCTGTGCCATTTTATCATCACGCCTTGAAGATGACAAGAATGCTGGACTGTTTGTTGATGCAGGTTTGGACAACTCCTTGATATAATATGCTCCTGGCCCAAGAGAATTCTTAGAGGTAATAACCCCAGGGGGTGAAAAAAAAAATCAATATTACAGCTTATTCTAAAGACATAACTGCACTGTAATCTACTAGCTACATGGCTAAACTAGTGTAATCTACTAGATACATTGCTAAACTAGGGAATCTACTAGCTACATGGCTAAACTAGGGTAATCTACTAGCTACATTGCTAAGTGCACGTAATATACTAGCTAAACTAGAGTAATCTAATAGCTTCCCGGCCAAACTATGGTAATCTGCTAGCTAGATGGCTAAACATGGGTAATCTACTAGCTACATGACTAAGTGCACGTAATATACAGTAGAACCTCGCAAAACAAATTGTAAAAGAATAATGTTTCGCATAACGAGTGGCAAGGAGAAGGAAAGTCCCGAATTGTGCGCATGTTACATCAGTCTGTGTTTAGCACTCGTTCCAGTAGCATCGTAGTGTCGCTTGTGATCACACATTTTCTCAAACTTGTGTTATATTGTGATATATGTACATGAATCCTCCAGGCCTACAAATGACCTCCCTAAAGAATTTAAGTTCATCAAGGTCCAATTTCTGCCTCCCAGCACCACTCCGTTACTCCAGCACATGGACCAGCAAGTTATTTTTAACTTTAAGAAGCTCTACACCAAAGCACTCTTCGAGCATTGTTTTCAAGTGACTGAAGAGACCAATCTCACTCTCAAAGAGTTTTGGAAAAATCACTTCCACATCGTTGCCTGCCTCAAGATGATCAACAAGGCGGGGGAAGGGGTTACCAAGGGAACCCTAACTTCTTCTTGGAAGAAGCTTTGGCCAGAAAGCGTTGTCAATTTGTGACTTTGAGTGGTTCGAGACACTACCAGTGAAACCTGTAGTCAACGAGATTGTTTCTTTGGCCACTATCATGGGATTGTAGGTGGATAACAGTGATATTGAAGAGCTTGTGGAAGAGCACAGCAAAGAGCTGATCACCGAGGATCTTATGGAGTTGCATTGTGTTTCCCAGCAAGAAGTTTTGGAGGAAAGTTTGTCAGAGGAGGAGGAGGTAGGAGAAAAGCAGCAATCTTCTGACGAATTAAAGAAATGCTGAAAGCATGGCAAACAATTTCATCTTACATTGAGAAGCATCACCCCAATAAGGAAGTGGCTATGCGCGCTGCAAATTTATTTAATGATAATGCTGTATCACATTTTCGCCAAATTTTGAAGCGTCAGCAAAAACAAATGTCTCTGGACATCTTTCTAGTAAAAAAATAAAAAGCTATGTATCATAATTATTTCGACTTTTTTCTCTGCAAATCGAATTCGCATTCCAGGTGGGTTCGTTCCGCGTTTAAAGAAAAGATGAAGATGATTCACTCTCCTTAACAATATGTAAATAATTTTCTTTTAATAAACATTATACTAGGGTAATATACTAGCAACATGGCTAAACTAGGGTAATCTACTAGCTACATGGCTAAACTAGGGAATCTACTAGCTACATGGCTAAACTAGGGTAATCTGCTAGCTACCTGGCTAAGTGCATGTAATATACTAGCTAAACTAGGGTAACCTACTAGCTATATGGCTAAACAAGGGTAATATACTAGCTACATGACTAAGTGCATGTAATATATTAGCTAAACTAGGGTAATCTACTAGCTACCTGACTAAACTAGGAATAATCTACTAGCTAAATGGCTAACCTAGGGTAATCTACCAGCTACATGGCTAAACTAGGGTAATCTACAGCTACATGGCTAAGTGCACGTAATATACTAGCTTAACTAGGGTAATCTACTAGCTACATGGCTAAACTAGGGAATCTACTAGCTACATGGCTAAGTGCACGTAAAATATACTAGCTAAATGAGGGTTATCTACTAGATACATGGCTAAACAAAGATAAGCTAATAGCTACCTGGTTATACTAGAGTAATTTACCTACTAAACAGTTAACCTAGAGTAATCTGCTAGCTGCATAGTTAAGCTAGGGTAATCTACTAGCTGCGTGGTTCAAACAGGTTGTCTACTAGCCACAAATTAAACTAGAGCAATCTAGTAGCTATATGTGTAAAATATTTTAATCTGCTCTCTACATTTTAAACTAAGGTAGTCTACTAGACACAGCTAAACAAGAGTAATCTACTAGATATAAGTTAAACTAGGGTAATCTACTTGCTGCATTTTTCACGTATATGGCTAAACAAGGTAAATCTGCTCCCTCTCCCCCTCCCCCTCCCTCCCTCTTCCCCTTCATCTTTCTCTTGCTATCTAACACATATACACACACACAGATGCTGTCTATGTCTTACACATACAAAGGCATTGTTTATGTTTGCCACATACATGAGCACAGAGATAGGGTGTCTGTTGTACACCAACACACACACATTATCATAGATATACTATGTCTATCTGTTGTACACAGACACACACACACACACTTGCACAGAGATACTATGTCTGTCTTTTGTACACAGATATTATTGCAAAGATATTGTGTCTGTTGCAAATAGACACAATCATTAGCACAGAACAAAGATTCTGTGCCTTCTGTTGTACATAGACACAGACATTAGCACAGAGATAGTGTCTGTTGTACATAGACACAGACATTAGCACATATATTGTGTCTGTTGTACATAGACACAGGCAGCACCAAGATATTGTGTCTATCTCTTGTACATAAACCTGACATTAGCACACAGATATTGTGTCTCTCTGTTGAAAATTGACACACAAACAAGCACAGAGATATCATGTCTGTTGTTTCAAGACACAGATATTAGCACAGGGATATTGTGTCTGTTTACTGTACATAGACACAGACATTAGCACAGGGATATTGTGTCTGTTTACTGTACATAGGCACAGACAATAGCACAGCGATATTGTGTCTGTTTACTGTACATAGGCACAGACAATAGCACAGCGATATTGTGTCTGTTTACTGTACATAGGCACAGACAATAGCACAGGGATATTGTGTCTGTTTGCTGTACATAGGCACAGACATTAGCACAGTGATATTGTGTCTGTTTACTGTACATAAGCACAGACATTAGCACAGGAATATTGTGTCTGTTTACTGTACATAGGCACAGACAATAGCACAGCGATATTGTGTCTGTTTACTGTACATAGGCACAGACATTAGCACAGGAATATTGTGTCTGTTTACTGTACATAGGCACAGACAATAGCACAGGAATATTGTGTCTGTTTACTGTACATAGGCACAGACAATAGCACAGGAATATTGTGTCTGTTTACTGTACATAGACACAGACAATAGCACAGCGATATTGTGTCTGTTTACTGTACATAGGCACAGACAATAGCACAGGGATATTGTGTCTGTTTACTGTACATAGGCACAGACAATAGCACAGGGATATTGTGTCTGTTTACTGTACATAGGCACAGACAATAGCACAGGAATATTGTGTCTGTTTACTGTACATAGGCACAGACAATAGCACAGGAATATTGTGTCTGTTTACTGTACATAGGCACAGACATTAGCACAGGGATATTGTGTCTGTTTACTGTACATAGGCACAGACATTAGCACAGGGATATTGTGTCTGTTTACTGTACATAGGCACAGACATTAGCACAGGGATATTGTGTCTGTTTACTGTACATAGGCACAGACATTAGCACAGGGATCATTGTGTCTGTTTAGACTGTACATAGGCACAGACATTAGCACAGGGATATTGTGTCTGTTTACTGTACATAGGCACAGACATTAGCACAGGGATATTGTGTCTGTTTACTGTACATAGAGCAGGTTTCTGTCATTAGCACAGCGATATTGTGTCTGTTTCTGTACATAGACACAGACAATAGCACAGGAATATTGTGTCTGTTTACTGTACATAGGCACAGACATTAGCACACAGGGATATTGTGTCTGTTTACTGTACATAGGCACAGACATTAGACAGGGATATTGTGTCTGTTTACTGTACATAGGCACAGACATTAGCACAGGGATATTGTGTCTGTTTCTGTACTAGACACAGATGCAGCACAGCGATATTGTGTCTGTTTACTGTACATAGGCACAGACAATAGCACAGGAATTGTGCACACTGTTTACTGTACATAGGCACAGACAATAGCACAGGAATATCTCTGTCTGTTTACTGTACATAGGCACAGACATTAGCACAGGGATATTGTGTCTGTTTACTGTACATAGGCACAGACATTAGCACAGCGATATTGTGTCTGTTTACTGTACACAGACACAGACAATAGCACAGCGATATTGTGTCTGTTTACTGTACACAGACACAGACAATAGCACAGCGATATTGTGTCTGTTTACTGTACATGCACACAGACAATATCACAGCGATATTGTGCTGTTTACTGTAGGTAGGCCAGACAATAGCACAGCGATATTGTGTCTGTTTACTGTACATAGACACAGACATTAGCACAGCGATATTGTGTCTGTTTACTGTACATAGACACAGACAATAGCACAGCGATATTGTGTCTGTTTACTGTACATAGACACAGACAATAGCACAGGAATATTGTGTCTGTTTACTGTACATAGGCACAGACAATAGCACAGGAATATTGTGTCTGTTTACTGTACATAGGCACAGACATTAGCACAGGGATATTGTGTCTGTTTACTGTACATAGGCACAGACAATAGCACAGCGATATTGTGTCTGTTTACTGTACATAGACACAGACAATAGCACAGCGATATTGTGTCTGTTTACTGTACATAGGCACAGACAATAGCACAGCGATATTGTGTCTGTTTACTGTACATAGACACAGACATTAGCACAGGGATATTGTGTCTGTTTACTGTACATAGGCACAGACAATAGCACAGGAATATTGTGTCTGTTTACTGTACATAGACACAGACAATAGCACAGGAATATTGTGTCTGTTTACTGTACATAGACACAGACAATAGCACAGGAATATTGTGTCTCTCTGTTGTAAACTGACACAGACATTAGCACAGGGATATTATATCTGTCACTCGTGCACACAGAGGAGATCTCTGCCTGTCACTTGTGCACACAGAGGAGGTCTCTGCCCATCACTTGTGCACACAGAGGAGATCTCTGCCTGTCACTCGTGCACACAGAAGGAGGTTTCTGCCTGTCACTTGTGCACACAGAGGAGATCTCTGCCTGTCACTTGTGCACACAGAGGAGGTCTCTGCCCATCACTTGTGCACACAGAGGAGGTTTCTGCCTGTCACTTTTGCACACAGAGGAGATCTCTGCCTGTCACTCGTGCACACAGAGGAGGTTTCTGTCCGTCACTCGTGCACACAGAGGAGATATCTGCCTATCATGCATAGACACATCCTCCCAAAGAAATACACAGTCCCTCCTCTCTCTAATTCTTCTCCCCTTTACCCCCCCCCCCACACACACACACTCACACACACATACACACACATTACCTTTGTCTTTGAGTCTGAGAAAATACTGTCTATGGGGACGTCTGGGTATTGAGCCAGTTTACCAAAGCGACCTCGATATTTCCGATGTGGTCCATGAAGGTCGTCTACAAATGTTCTGAAATTATACTGTCCTGGTCCAATATGAGAAGGTTTCTGTGGAAACAAATTTAATACTTTACTTTCCCTTGTGTATCATTACACAATTATTGTACAGTATCCTCACTTGTGTAACATTACACAGTTATTGTACAATACCCTCACTTGTGTAACATTACACAGTTATTGTACAATACCCTCACTCGTGTAACAATACACAGTTATTGTACAATACTCTCACTTGTATAACATTACACAGTTATTGTACAATATCTTCACTTGTGTAACATTACACAATTATTATAGGATTGTGAGGTATGAGTTATGAGTTAGATTATCTTCACAGCACTCCGGACACATCCATAGGCGCTCAGATTCCCCTCTCAACATACTCATCAGCGTCGTGCGGTTAATAGTACCAGTCCTATGTTGGTTAACAAGACTGTGTGTGTCCAGTGTGCTTCTCATGCTTGGCTGTGCCGATCTTTACTCCCAATTCGCGTATTCTTAGAAGTGATGTGGACACGTTGCTTCCAAAATCCTCAGAACATCATATCTTTCTAAGGGCAATGACAATGTCTGTGTGATCCATGAGCTGGCCATCTTCAATTAATGCAGTGCTTGCCAGTCTATCAGCTCTCTCATTACCAACAACACCTGCATGGGAAAAATATGAAAGTAACTGCACACACAGGAGAATTTTGCAATGACTCAAGCCACTGTCTGCGTAACCAGCCTGCCTCGACCCGCCAGATCATACTCAAAGAATCACTCAACACACACACACACACGCAGGAATAATCCTGTGATCCTAGCTACATGAAAGCCTGTGTCACCGCCATCACCTCCATCGTCATGCTGCTGGTGGTCATGGAGAAGGCACCGCTAGCTTCCTTAACTGTTCTGCCTGAAGAGTGAGCTGTAAATGCCCATGCACTCTTATGTCCTCGTATAACGGACCCGTATAAGATTGTCACTGAGCTATGATAGCGTGTTTACAAAAGTAACAAAAAATGAAATTTTACTGACAAAATTGTTCACATAGTTACATCTGAAACCTATATTATCGTAAATACTATGGTCACTCTGGGATGAGTCGGCCAGTAATTTGTAAGTGATAGTTATAAACGGCCGATTGCGTGACATGGGAGTTAAGCATGGTGATGCACGTCTTTGCCGACTTCGGGGCTGAGAAAGGAGACAATATAACCAGCTTCTCATGGGGACAATTATTAGAAGTACTTTGGAGTGGCTGCTGCTTTGGAGAACTGAGCACGCATGGGTATGTCCAATGTGCAGTGACATCAAGTGTGATAACAAAACATAAAATAATATCTTGTAGGGAGTCGGCAGTCCGTAACCCAAGTTCAAGGTGTCTCCTTCGTGCCAAAGAACTGCATGGCTGTTGGGTGAACAGTCGTTAATGAAGGCAGGCAGGTCGTTGTAGGGGCGACACCTGCTGGTAGATGTAATGTCCTAAGTCCCTTCCCCAGCTAATAATGAGGATACTGCTGGGGTGACCGTTTATTAACCCTCATATAATGCTTCAGGTCAAAATGGACGCTAGGCACGGCCACTTTTTTATTTTTTTTATTTTTCAATTGTTTTTAAATTTTCCTGCCAGACGGTGGCCGTTGCATTTTTGCTCCATTTGTAGACTGGAAGGATATAGTTTCGTCGCCCAGCTTCTGAGTTGAGTGCATGGCATGACACTGTGAGCTACGTGTGTTTTTCGTTGGCGCAGGAGCAGAGCAACTATGGGGTGACCCGTTTGCTATGAAGCTGAAACTAGGATTACCAGATTACCAAAGGGTCTCTGTCCTTTGGTGTGATATGGTGTGACCAATAAATACGTTTTGATGGGGACTGTCTGTTTATATTTTTCAAAACAGGGGCGTTGCCTAGAAGAATATTTGAAGAGTAATGGTTGTTTCGCCTTGACTTCCTCATGTCTCTTCCCAGCTAGTCACCCACCCTGTACATTAATAACATAAGACGGTACAGGGGCTAGAAAGAGGGCCCCACCACAGCAGTATTAGTTTGGGGACTACAATATAGGGTGCTCGGACTGGCCCAATGTGAAAGGGGGAATCCCTCCTGACCGACATCTTGGGGGAGAAAAAGCCGGTTAACCACAGGGTCACTTGACCCTCATTTTGCGGACAATCTTCACCTCCAACTCCACCTCTAGCTTCCCTCCAACTTCCCACCACCTCCAACTTCTATCCACACATGACACAGTGCCAATGTGCAGAAAATACTATGGATAAATAGCGCCTACTACTCACGTCTGGAGTGACTGCCGATGTGAATATTTGGGAAGGTAGTCAAAGACTTGACAGTGTGTCATTGATCACCACTCATCTTCGTCGTAACGTGTCGCGTCCATAATAAAGAGAAATGCACTATTACAGAGATGACTTTTAGTGTACTGGAGTTGACCTTGTGATTCTAGTTTGCAGTACGTTGTCAATTTGAGAAATTTTGGTTTGTGTGGGTGAGGCATTAACAAATTCCCTAGACACTTGGCAAGAGTGCGATGCCTCGGAGATATCGCATATAGCAAATGGGTGCCAAGCAGTTGAACCTGAGTCTCCTATTAGAAGTCGACATCGAGCTTGTTATGTTTCATTCCTAACAAATGGGCAAAAAGCCGTCGAACCTGTGTCTCTTCCATGGATTCGTCATCGTCGTTATAATCTGTCCGTGATTGAGGAGGAGGGTGAGGCAGTCGATGGTGTAGCTTTAGGAGGGGTTGTTCTCCAAGGGTCCTGTGGACTGTTGAGCCAGATTCCTGAGGTGTTCAGCATACTCAATGAAGGGCTTAATTATTAGTTTGTTTACTTTACAGGGATAATTATTAGTTATTAATAATTAGTTTGTTTAACTGTAGTCGATGCGAACGCTTCGTAATCCTGGGGAGCAGGGTTCGATCCAAGCTGCGGGCCATGCGCATTGCGTTGGTTTCAACAATGGCAAACTAATGGATGTAAATTTGCCTAGAGAAACCACACAACAGCCAGGGGCTGCTGGGTTGGTTCTGCAACGTCCTGTAAAGGATATACAACTAACCTTAACTGTAGTAGCTGTTTTATCCTATTCAGAATGTTAGATAAACAATGCTGTTATAGTAGAACCAAAGTTTCATGGACAAGCAGCCTATAGGACAGTGAAATCGTTTAGTGTACAGGCACAGACTAGAAAGTTTAGGCCCATATACTAAAGAGTGTAGGCACACATATTATAGAGTGTGTAGGCACACATACTAGAAAGTGTAGGCTCACATACTAGTGAGAAGGCCCACATACTAGAAAGTGTAGGCTCACATACTAGAGAGTGTAGGCCCACATACTAGACAGTGTAGGCTCACATACTAGAGAGTGTAGGGGCACATACTAGAGTGTGTAGGCACACATACTAGAGTGTGTAGCCACACATACTAGAGAGTGTAGGTGCACATATTAGAGAGTGTAGGCTAACATACTAGAGAGTGTAGGTACACATACTAGAGAGTAGGCGCACATACCAGAGAGTGAAGGCACACATACTAGAGAGTGTAGGCGCACATATTAGAGTGTGTAGGCACACATACTAGAGTGTGTAGGCACACATACTAGAGAGTGTAGGTGCACATACTAGAGTGTAGGGGCACATACTAGAGTGTGTAGGCACACATACTAGAGTGTGTAGGCACACATACTAGAGAGTGAAGGCCCACATACTAGAGAGTGAAGGCCCACATACTAGAGTGTGTAGGCACACATACTAGAGAGTGAAGGCCCACATACTAGAGTGTAGGGGCACATACTCGAGTGTGTAGGCACACATACTAAAGTGTGTAGGCACACATACTAGAGAGTGTAGGTGCACATATTAGAGAGTGTAGGTGCACATATTAGAGAGTGTAGGCCCACATACTAGAGAGTGTAGGCGCACATATTAGAGTGTGTAGGCCCACATACTAGAGAGTGTAGGGGCACATACTAGAATGTGTAGGCACACACATACCAGAGTGTGTAGGCACACATACTAGAGAGTGTAGGTGCACATACTAGAAAGTGTAGGCCCACATACTAGAGTGTGTAGGCGAACATACAAGAGAGAATGCCCACATACTAGACAGTGTAGGCACACATACTAGAGAGTGTAGGTGCACATACTAGAGAGTGTAGGTGCACATACTACAGAGTATAAGTGCACATACTAGAGAGTGTAGGCCCACATACCACAGGGTGTAAGCACACATACTAGAGAGTGTAGGCGCACCTACTAGAAAAGCACAGCTCAGTTCCAAACATTGTCTGGAAAGCGGTGATGATAGTCCTCACTAATTACTCATTTCTCAGTCCCAGGTCTGACTGACTGACTTTCTACCCCACCAGGACATCACACAAGCGATAAACACCCGATGACACAAAGTGCCACCATATGGATGAGGATCGCCGTGAAGAGGTCCCAGAAACCGCGTTCAGACATTTGGCCATATTTATGGCCTGCCTATATTGCGGCCCCTGGCAAAAGCCAGGGTGGGGCTTCAAATAACAAAAAATTTCGTCCTAAAAAGGACGAAACTGAATAATAGCTATCATCAAGTCCCAGGTCTTTAAATTTCCATATATTCATTCAACAACTGATCATGCCTATAACAAGATAATTACTTTCTCATACAGTGTCATGCAGAATAATTCAAAGGCAAATGAATAAACACAGTTCAACTTTACCGCCATTTGCGATGAAAAATAATAGAAATAGTTTAAAAAAAAAAAAAGCAAAAACAAAATGCAAAGCAATTAACAAAAAAATTAATAAAGTATACTCACCAAATTAAAGCTATGGTAACTGTTCTTTGTGTGACACTCCTATATAAAAACACTCATGCATTCTAATGCAACATTGTGTGAAAGTTTAAAAGCAATTGGTGAAGAACTTTAAGCATACAGCTTCATGCAGATTTGTGAGATCAATAGGTAGCAGAGCTGCCAATGGGATTTTTAAAAATCAAAACCCAAGCTAAGCTGACCAAAAATACCCAAGCAATACATCAGCAAAGAACAAAAAATCAAAAACCTAAGATTGATAAACAGTACAAATTTTATAGTTACGAAAGAAAAAAATTTAACTATTTTTATATAAGGATATATTTAAAAAAACAAGATTCCAAAATCGGAACCTAAATCGACATTTAAAAACTGAGATCTTGGGGGAAACCCAATTATTGACAGCCCTGGTCCTGCCAACGGAAATAAAACTTGCGCTAGGGAGGCAACGAAACAAAAACTGATGTGATTGTTGCTGGAGCTATGTAGTTCGTGCTTTGGTTGACACTCTTTTATAAAAACATGTGCATTTTCTAATACAACGTGAAAATTTGAAAGCAATCGATGATTAGCAGTAACAAACAACGAAACATTTAGATTTTTATTTATATAGATTATTATACAATACCTTGACTTGTGTAACTGCTACTATCTGCTTGTACCTGTCACACTTGTCTATGCTGTCTAACATTAGGTGATTTTGTGTGTTTGTGATTCTCAGTATGGTAAGGTTTGATTTATGTATGTGCTTATGAAGGCTTTATAGCCGCAACGTTCATGTTTTGTTTGTGTTTGTACTATTCCTTCACTTTTATATTTTTCCTCACTTGTGTAACACTACCCAATTATTGTACAATACCCTCACTTGTGTATCATTACTTAATGTTTGTACTATTATCAGTAAAGCCGAGTAGTTTCTGTTATCAGTAAAGGCAGGTGATTTCTGTTATCAGTAAAGTAATTTAGTGACTGTTATCTGTAAAATAATATAGTTTCTGCTATCAGAGAAATATTTTAGTTTCCATTATCAGTAAAATAACGTAGTTTTTAATTATCAGTAAAGTCATGTAGTTTCTGTTATAAGTTGAGCCATGTAGTGTTTATTGAGCATAGAGTTATGTAATCTTCAAACTGTAAAGTCATGTAGTTTCTGTTATCATAAACCCATGTAGTGTCTGTTATCATAAACTCATGTAGTGTCTGTGATCAGTAAATACATGGTCTATTAAATGTAGAGTGATCTAGTTTCTGCTAACTGTAAAGTTTAAGTTTATCTTTTTTCAACGGATCAACATCATGGCACACTGGTGCAATCCATAAGTGCTACATTTTTCTTTTAACTCAAGCCTGAGTTCGAAGATTCTCAGCACAGCGCACTAACTCAGTTGCACCAGCAAGGATCCTGAAATACTTTGGGTAGATTTTGAACTCCAAATTTTGCCCGCACTGTGCCGTTATGCTACTCTTTTCGATTTCCAACTGCCAAGGGATTTTTTTATGTGTGCAACAATACACACAGGCATCCGGTCTGACTACCCAGAGACCAGCGGAATTTACTAGAATTCCATGTGAAAAAATCCCAGCCTTCACCAGGGCTTGAACCCAGGACCTCTAGCACTCGAGGCGGACACCATGTAGTGTCTATTATCAGTAAACTTATGTAGTGTCTATTAATTGAAGACTCATGTAGTTTCTGCTAACTGTTAAGTCATGTAGTGGCTATAATGAGAAAACTCATGTAGTGTATGTTAAATCTAGAGTCGTGTAGTTTTTGATAACTGTAAAGTCATGTAGTGTCTATAATTAGAAAACTCATGTAGTGTCCGTTAAATGTAGAGTCATGTATTTTCAGATAACTGTAAAGTCATGTAGTGGCTGTAATTAGAAAACTCATGTCATCATCATCATCATGTAGCAGGTCCTTTGCAGAACGTCACTCTCATCACAGTCTGCCTGAAAGAAACTCGGTCTCTCGCCAGCTCTCCCGCCTCATGCACTTTCACTGACTCAAAAAGTCACTTATATCCTGTGCCCATCTTCGTGTCGGTCGGCCCCTGACCCTCCTGCCTGGTACTGTGCCTTCTGCTATAATATTTTCCAATCCATTGTGGCGCTTGATGTGACCAAAATATTTCAGCTTTCGAGAAAGGGTGCTGTTTATTAGTCAATCTTCGTTGATGTTCAGATCTTTTAAGATGTCAATATTTCTCATCTTCTTTATCCAAGATATTCTGAGAATCTATCTATAGCCTTACAGCTCAAAAGCCCCTATTCTCTTTCTTAAGTACTGAGAGATAGTCCATGACTCACACCCGTAAGCAGCCACAGGGAAGATGCATGCTCTCAAAATTCTAATTTTTATCATCCTTCTGGTGCTTAACCATAGACTTTTAAGGCTGTTCAATCTTTGCATTGCTATGGCCATCCTCCTTTTAATTTCTGTCGTCAGTCTCCATTGTTGTTTATTGTAAAGCCTAGATATTCAAAGTTTGTGACATTTTGAATTTCCTCATCATTTATTATTTTGGGTGACAGCCAGTTTTATCTGTGGAAATTATTTTCGTTTTCTTTAAATTCAAGAACAGATTTGCAAAACTCATGTAGTGTGTGTTAAATCTAAAGTCATATAGTTTCTGCTAACTGTTAAGTCATGTGGTGCCTGTAATTAGAAAAGTCATGTGGTGTCTGATAAATGTAGAGTCATGTAGTTTCTGTTATCAGTCAAGTCATGTAAGTAAGGTAAGTAAAGGTCCCTTTTCCACGCTTTTAGGCGTATAGGGATATAGGGCTAGACCTATATTTTTATGGACCAATCGGCTCAAGATGGCTGATGTGGTCAGCATCACGCTGGCCGCCTTTACTTACTAGGACTGCACCCGGTACCCACTCAAGGTTAGGTCAACCTAGGAGTCAAGGTCATTTTTGAAAAATGTCCGGCTCCACAAGTGAGCGAAGCCACAACCTTCCGATCCGCTTGCGAGCATCTGACTGTTAGGCCATAGCGACTCCCTGTTAAGTCATGTAGTGTCTATTAAATTTAGTGTCATGTAGTTCCTGCTAACTGTGAAGTTATGTAGTGTTTGTTATCTGTAAAATAATGTTGTTTCTGTTATCAATGAAGTAATGTAGTTTCTCTTATTGGTAAAGTCATGTAGTTTCTTTTAATAAAGTCACATAGTTTGTATTGTAAGTAAAGTCTTGTAGTTTGTATTGTAAGTAAAGTCATGTAGTTTGTATTGTAGGTAAAGTCACATGTAGTTTGTATTGTAAGTAAAGTCCATGTAGTTTGTATTGTAAGTAAAGTCATGTAGTTTGTATTGTAAGTAAAGTCACATAGTTTGTATTGTAAGTAAAGTCTTGTAGTTTGTATTGTAAGTAAAGTCATGTAGTTTGTATTGTAAGTAAAGTCACATAGTTTGTATTGTAAGTAAAGTCTTGTAGTTTGTATTGTAAGTAAAGTCATGTAGTTTCTGTCATTGATAAAGTCATGCAGTTTCTGTTATAAATAAAGACATGTGTAAGTTATGAGTTAGATTATCTTCACAGTACTCTGGACACGTCCATACATGCTCAGATTCACCCTTCAATATATTCATCAGCGTCATACCCTTAACAGTGCCAGTTCTATGCTGGTTGACAAGACTTCTTGTGCGTCCGGTATGCTTCTCATGCTTGGCTGTTCTGATCTTTACTCCCTGGTCCTGTATTCTTAGCAGTGATGTGGACAAGTTGCTTCCAAAATCCCCAGAACCTCTTATCTCTCTGAGGGCACTAACAATGTCTGCATGATCCATGGGCCGACAATCTGCAATTAATGCGGAACCTGCCAGTCTATCAGCTCTTTCATTGTTAACAACATCTGCATGATCTAGGACAAATATGAAGGTAACTGCACATATAGTAGAGTTTTGCAATGACTCAGTCCACTGTCTGCATAACGAGCCCGTCTCTCCCACCAGATCATGCTCAAAGAATCACTCAGCACACACACGCGGGAATAATCCTGCGATTCTAGCCATGTGAAAGCTTGTGTCACCACCATTGTCATGCTACTGGTAGTCATGGAGAAGGTACTGCTGACTTCTTGAACTGTTCTGCCTGAAGAGCAAGCTGTAAATGCCCATGCACTCTTATGTCCTCGTATAACGGACCCGTCTGTGAAGATCAGCACATCAGTCTCATCTGACTTGTCACTGATAAGATCAGACCTCAGCATTGACAGCAACGGGATTCTGCTCTCGGTAACTTCTATCAAGCGTGAGGACACAGGAGAAAGTGAGGCTGAGCGCTTTTGGAACTAGTATGTTGTCCATATGGTCTCAGTTGTAATATTGAAATCATCACTCAGCTAATCCTTCTCAAAAAACTCTGAAAGTGTCAACTTAACTCTCAGGTTTACCGCTTCATCTTTCTGTGCTTTAAAAGTCTGGGATATCCTGACGTCATGTAGTGCCGTTCATCACCCGATGAAGTTGCCAAAATATGGCAAGAGACCCTTCAGAGCACACCTTCATATAGTAATCATCCCATTCCCCATTCTTGACCTGCCTAGCGCATAGCTTGACAGCCAATACTGTCTTATTGACTTTGTCTTTCAGGTCACCCAGGAGCTGAAACTGCAACATGCTACTCTTCCTAATCTTCTGCCTTAATGACCTGTCTCTTTTCCAGCCATGCCCTTTCAATCTGTTCAGCCCATGGTGGCTGCCTCTATTTTGTTTCTCTGTGGGAGGTATCTAGTATGCAGGTTGTAGGTACCAGGACCTAGGCCAGAGCCCTGGAGATAAACCACAGTTTCATTCTGTCAGCACCAAAACTACGCACAATATTTGCATTCAGATAGACAATTCTAAGAATAGAAAACACAAAAGTCCGAGTGATACAAAACAAGGCAATTGCAAGAAATATAAAGTACTAGTGACAAACACAGAAGTAGGACTGACAAACACATAAGTACCTGTGACAAACACAAAAGTACAGATAACAAACACACAAGCACTCTTGGCTAACACAGAAGTACTAATGAAGAACCCAGAAGTATGACTGACAAATACATTAGTACTACAGACAAACACAGAAGCACTAATGACAAACACAGCAGTACTAGTGACAAACATAGTGAGACTAATGATACATAGAAGTACTAGTCTCAAACACAAGAGTACCAGTTACACACACAGAGGTACTAGAAACAAACACTGAGGAACTAGTCTCAAACACAAGAGTACAAGTTACAAACATGAGGTATTAGTGACAATACCAGAGGACCAGTAACAAACACAGAATTACTAGTGAAAAACACAGGAGTACAAGTAACAAAGACAGTAGTATTAGTAATAAACGGTGATACTAGAGATACACAGTGTCAGGTTTTTATTCCGGCGAGCGCCTCAATTGTCCCCAATTCTACGTGGATATACCCACTTATGCAGTGAGTGATTGGGTTTGAATTGACACTGCACACCCAAGTGAGCTTGGACTAATATCTGAGCTTATTTGATCCCACACAGTCCTGGATAACCAAGAAAACAGCAAAAGTGGCTCGGACAATAAAGTGAAAGTAGTTGTACTTTTATCCAAAGGAGTAAGAAAAGAGATAGTTAGGTATCAAGATGTATCCAATGAAATAATATCAAGATACAGTTAACCCCTCTGACTTTCTCCACTCCTGGTATTATTTTATAACCAAAACCCCCATCAAGTGATTACATTAAAGTGAGCTGAGGTGAACTAGTATGCACCAAGACCCTTGAACCTAAGTACACAATTTACCCATCTATTTATAATAACATGAAAAAGATTTTAATAATAGTCTAAACAAAAAAAATTGAATGATACTGATCTTGCGTAATTGAAATGTAATAGCTCAGTGGTGGCAATGATTCAGTCAATGAGTTTGATATGTACATATGCTAGTTGAGTGAGTGCAATAAGCTGTTGTCTAGGAGATGATTCGTCTGTGAATGCTCTTAGCACACATTCTTTACGAAGACATAACTGGGACAAGCTGACACCGACTTCGAAGTAAGAAACATTTTATTGACATATCACTTACACAAAAGTCATGTCCGTGTCCTAGTTTACAGCTTGCACGCACCACATCAATCAGACTCCAACATGCTGGTTTCTCACACAATCATTGACCAGAGTTCGTCACAGATGGATCTGGTTATTCTCATTGACTTCATACAGAATTGCCTGGCTGGTCCTGGCTACAATGGATGTCGTCGTCTGATCTTCCTCTCACAGCAATCAGTCTCACGTTGTCATTTTCTCGATCACTCTCCCGTCCTTTCGCTCGACAGTCAACACATACTAACTGATCAGACTATGGTCTTGCCTTATACCCAGTGTTCATTCCACGTGGCAACACATGGTTGTTCTTGGGTTCCACATGGCATCTGTGGTCATTATCATTGGGTTCCCCGTGATAATTCGTGGTCATAACCTATCTTGAAAACCTCGTTTACTCCGAGTATCTGGCTTCTCTCGGTATACTTGTTAATCTTGGGCTTTCCCCCACAACCTTCATAATCTTTTTCTTCTTCTTCTTCTTCTCTTCCACCTTGTACCTCATCGAAGTGAATCAGGGTGAAAATATCGCCCATTACAGTGAGGATGGTGTTATGATGGTGATAATTCATTGGAACGTAACAGCTCTCGGGATGAGACTGCAACTTTTTCAGTTTGTTGTCCTAGCTGCTTCAAGTAGATCGTTACACTCAGACTGTCTGCAAAGAATGGATGGTTTCAAGAATTATAATTAATAACATGACACCTTAGTTTAGGTGGTCTGCACTTTCCATTTCAATGGTGCCACTAAGTTTACCTGCTCAGTCTCATCTGTATGCTTAACACCTTATCACTGTTTAAGAGTCTGAGTGTTTGATATCAACTGCAGTCCAGGGAAATTAAAATAGCTTTGCTCTGTATCGACCTAGATTTAGGTTACAGCCCAGGAGCATATTTCCTCTATAACTTAAAATATAGAGACAAAAATTAGGTTAGGAAAAACCATGTTCTGAAGCCACAGATCATGTTGTCACACACAGAAGTACCAGTCACAAGCACATGGGTACTAGACACAGACACAGAGGTACTAGTAATACACACAGAGGTACTAGTCACAAACCTTGTTCAATTCAGACTGCGGCCAGCAAGAAATAAAGAAGCTACATTAGAAAGTATCCTAGTTGTGTGAGTCTTTTTGGCAAATTGTTAAAATTTGCCTAATTCCTGCATGTGGCAGGGACCAGTTGGCATCTATTCTGTGCAGACGGTCTGAGTGTAATGATCTAATTGAATTAGGAGGACATCAAGCGGGGAAAAGATAAGCAGTCTCAACCTGAGACCTGTCTGAGGTTTATAAAGTTAACATTTTTATTTCTAAGAAATATCATTATCATAACACCATCCTCACTCTACTATTATATGCATTTACTGAGCTCACTGAATTAACTCATTACCATCACTGAGCTATTATCTTTTGTGATTGCAAGATGAATATTATTCAATTTAAGAAAAAAAATTTTTAAGACTAAATTTTTATTCAGGTTATAAAATAGTTTAATAAATTGTGTACTTAGGCTTAAATCTTGTTGTTCGTTCGTTCGTTTTCTTGGTACATATTAGTTAACCTCAGCTCACATTATGTCAATCACTTGATGGGGGCTTTTGTTATATATTAATACTAGGAGAGGAGAAAGTTCTGAGGGGTTAACTGTATATCTTGACATTATTTCATTGGATACATCTTGATAGCTTATTCATTTTCTTACTCCTGTGGATACGAGTACAGCTATTTTCATTTAACTGTACGAGCCACTTTTGCTGTTTTCTTGGTTATCCAGGACTGTATCTGGGATCAGCATAGCTCAGATATTAGTCCGAGTTCTCAAGTGGGTGTGCAGTGTTAGGATTCAAAGCCAGCCACTCACTATATAAGTGTAAATCCAGTTGGGGTCGGCGGCACAAACACAGAAGTTCTAGTCTGTTCTAGTGACAAACACAAGAGTACTAGTCACATACACAGAAGTACTAGTAAAAACACAGAAGTACTAGTAAAAACACAGAAGTACTAGTAAAAACACAGAAGTACTAGTAAAAACACAGAAGTACTAGTAAAAACACAGAAGTACTAGTGACAGAGTACTAGTGACAGACACAGAAGTATTAGTGAAAAACACAAGAGTACTAGTGACAAACATTGAGGACAGAGTTGAAAATACAGAAGTACTAGTGATAACGTCAAGAGTACAAGTAGAATACATATGAGTATTAGCCTGTAGATAATTTTAAAATACATTCATTATATAACAACAAACACATAAGATATTGCAAATAAATATGTTGTAGCACAGTCATAATCAATATGAAAAACATAAATACATAAATAATAACAAACACATTAGTTAATTAAAAAAAATTTAAGCTATTATAAAAACATTAATAATAAATAAATAAGTTACAATAAATACATTAGTTTTTACAAAAGTATCCCTTATAACAAATACATAAGTTATAACAAATATATCCCTTATGACAAATACATACATTTTAACAAATATATCCCTTATGACGAATACATAAGTTATAACAAATATATCCCTTATGATAAATACATAAGTTATAACAAATATATCCCTTTTGATAAATACATAAGTTATAACAAATATATCCCTTTTGACAAATACATAAGTTATAACAAATATATCCCTTTTGAAAAATACATAGATTATAACAAATATATCCCTTTTGACAAATATTAAGTTATAACAAATATATCTCTTTTAACAAATACATAAGTTATAACAAATATATCCCTTTTGACAAATACATAAGTTATAACAAATATATCCCTTTTGACAAATACATAAGTTATAACAAATATATCCCTTTTGACAAATACATAAGTTATAACAAATATATCTCTTTTGAAAAATACATAAGTTATAACAAATATATCCCTTTTGACAAATACATAAGTTATAACTAATATATCTCTTTTGACAAATACATAAGTTATAACAAATATATCCCTTTTGACAAATACATAAGTTATAACAAATATATCTCTTTTGACAAATACTTAAGTTATAACAAATATATCCCTTATGACAAATACATAAGTTATAACAAATATATCTCTTTTGAAAAATACATAAGTTATAACAAATATATCTCTTTTAACAAATACATAAGTTATAACAAATATATCTCTTTTGACAAATACATAAGTTATAACAAATATATCTCTTTTGAAAAATACATAAGTTATAACAAATATATCTCTTTTGACAAATACATAAGTTATAACAAATATATCCCTTTTGAAAAATACATAAGTTATAACAAATATATCTCTTTTGAAAAATACATAAGTTATAATTTAAAAAAATAATTCGTGGGCAGCCATGGTGTAGCAGCTAGAAACTCACCTGCAGATCAGAAAGTCATCAATTCAGGTTCTGATGGATTAAGACTTTATTTTTATTTATTTTTCAAAAATGACATAGTCTCAAATAAGTACCAGGTGTTGTCCTGGGAAGTAAAGGTGGCCAGCACGGTGTTGACCACATCACCTACCGAGTGCGAGTTGGAAATAGGTCCTTTACTTTCCAACAAATAAATACAAATTAAATACTAAGTTATAGCAAATACATAAGTTAAATACAAAGTTATAGCAAATACTTAGGTTAAATACCTAAGTTATAGCAAATACATAGGTTAAATACCTAAGTTTTAGCAAATACATAAAATACCTAAGTTAAGCAAATA